CCCTCCCCCACCCCCTCCCCCCACCCACACACCTCACAACAAAATGGACTTTGCAGAGGAGCAGGCGTCTGAGCTGGAGGTGCTTGAGTCTATCTACCCGTCGTCTGATGAGTTCAAGGTCCTTTGCCATGAGCCCTTTGCCTCCTTTGAGGTCCTGGTCACAGCGACGGGCGACGGCGAGGAGAGCGAGGAGAGTGATGATGATGACGATGCTGGGGATGCTGGGGATGCTGGTGCTGCTGCTGCTGCTGGCGATAACGGTGATGGTGATGATAATGATGAGGATGATACGGCAGAGATGCCACTGGCTCATCGTCTCCGTCCCCAGGTCTTCCTCGTTGTCACCTATGTTGCCGAGTACCCAGAGGTCGCTCCGAGCTGGACCCTCCGCCGCAAGCGTGGTCTCAACGCGGATGGTCTTGCCAGGGTCGAAGAGGCTGTGGCTGAGTCTGTGGAGGACTCTATCGGCGACATCATGGTCTTTTCTATGGTCCAGGCTGCTCGTGATGCGCTGGACGAGCTTGCAGAAGACGCGGAGGAGGAGCTCGCCGAGATCAAAGCTGCCGAGGCTGCTGCCTTTGCGGCTGCAGAGGAGGCGCGCAAGGGTACCGCCGTCACCCGCGAGCTCTTTGCTCAGTGGGCGCCGGACTTTAACGACGTTATCCGTGCCCAGCGCCGCGAGCGCGCCGAGGCCATGTTTGCTAAGCGGTCGTCATCGGCGTCGTCGGCCGCCAAGGCCCGCAAGGCCATGCAGAAGCGGGCCGGCCGACTCTCCGGTCGGGCCATCTTTGAGTCTGGCCTCGTCCGTGACGACTCGGAGGCTCCGTCCGAGGCTGGCTCGTCGGCACCTCCCTCGGGCGCTGCCACTCCGGCTTCCAACACCGCTGCCGATGCTGCTGCTGATGCCAACACCGTCAACGCGGCCCTCTTTGCCGGCCTCGAGCTCTCGTCCGACTCGGACTCGGACTCGGACGAGTAAACTGTGTTTGGCTTCGCTGGGAGAGGCGGAGAGTGCGGGTGGACGGAGGTGTGTGTGCGTGTTCGTTTCTTGTTTTGTGCAAGTGGGGCGGCAGATTAAAAGTCGCCAGCGTCGAGGGCGGTACCGCCGGCGGCGCCCGACGGGCCTGCGCCGCCCGACTCGCGCTGGGCAAGCTGCTGGGCGAGGTACTGCATGACGGCACCGGTACCCTTGCGGATGACCGGGTTGGGCGGGGTGATGAGCGAGTTGTTCTTGAGGTCAAGGGTCTCAAGGTTCTCGAGCGCGCTCATCTCGGGCGGCAGCTCGGTGAGCGAGTTGTACGACAGATCGAGCTTGGTGATAGCAGCAAGCTTGGAGATCTCGACGGGGATCGAAGTGAGCTTGTTGGAGCGGAGGTCGAGGATCTGGAGCAGGGTCAGGTCTCCGATCTCAAACGGCAGCGTCTCGAGGCGGTTCGAGGCGAGCGAGAGCTTGGTCAGGTTAGTCAGCTCGCCGATCTCCTCCAGCAGCCGCTCGAGGCGGCAGTTGGAAAGGTCGAGCTCCTCGAGGTTGGTGAGTGTGGAGATGACGTCTACTGGGACCGACTCGAGCGGGTTGTTGCCGAGGTGGAGCTTGGTGAGCGTGGTGAGTGCTGAGAGCTCTTGCGGGAGCATGATGGCGGTCAGCTGGTTGTTGCGCAAGTCGAGCGACTCGAGCTGCGAGAGCTGGCCGAGAGACATCGGGATTGATGCCAGGCCGCAGCCGTACAGGTCGAGCTTGCGAAGGTTGACCAGCTCGCCCACGGCCGGTGTCACCTCGGCGAGCTGGACGTTGTCGCGAACATCGAGCTCAACCAGGGCGGTCAGGTCGGCAATGTCGTCGGGCAGCTCCTCGACCCGCGTGTTGCGGAGCGAGAGCACCTTGAGCTTGCGCATCGCACCAAGGTCAAACGGCAGGTCCGCCAGCGCGGGGTTGTCGCGGATGATGAGCTCCGTCATGTTGGTCAGCCGGCAGATCGACTCGGGAAGCTCACGAAGCTGGTTGAAGCCAACGTCGAGCTTGCGGAGCTGGAGCACAGACTCGATCTCGTTCGGCAGGCCGGGCACTTCGTTGTTCGCCAGGTTGAGCACCTGGAGGTTGACGAGCTGCCCAAGCTCGGCAGGCACAAACTTGATCTTGTTATCCTGCAGGTACAGCTCCTGCAGCGACGAGACCTTGCCAAACTCCTCAGACATCGTCTTGAACGCGTTCTGCGAGAGGTCCACCACCTTGAGCGGAAGCTTGAAGAACTCGGACGGGAGCGTGTCGAGCTGGTTCGATGAAAAGTCGACGCGGGTCAGTGACGCACACTTGCCCACCTCGGGCGTAATGCCCGCAAAGAACAGCCGGTTGTGGTGGGCAGAGAGGTCCTCCAGCTTCTTGAGCTTGCCGATGTCCGGGAATAGCCCATTCATTCGATTGTTTGCAATGTTCAAGATTTCTAGATTGGTCAACAGGCCGACCTCAGGCGGCAAGTCTGCCAGCGAGTTGGTCGACACATCGAGCTCCACCAGCTTGACGCACTTGCCAATCTTGTCCGGAATCTCCTCAATCTGCCGGTCAGACAGGTCGAGCTTCTGCTTCTTCGACGCCTTCTTGATCTCCTTCGAGAGTGCGTCTCCCATGCTGTTGTTCCTCACTCCCTTCCGCATGAGTTTCATGACGTTCGCCCCTTCTTCCCCCCCCCCCCTTCCCCCCAGCCGTTACTCTCCGATTCGGCACCCGTGGCAAAGCAAGTTGTTTGGGCAGCCACCCTCCCCCCCTTTCCTCCTCCACCTTATTCACACCAGCTACAAAGGGACAAAGGGGAAGGGGAGGAGAAGAGCTCAACCCCTTGTACCCCCTCCTCCCCCTCCCCCACACCATCTCCACCTAAATGGTTCCCGTCCTTCTATGCGTCCTCTCCTTCCACACAGGTCGTCACTGCTACCCCCCCCCCGTACCTGGTCGGTCTCGAGACGAAATTAAGCAGAATCGCTGGCAATGGAGCAAGGCTGAGTGGCACGTGAGAAGAGGCCGACCGTTTGGTGGGAGGGCGGAGGTGGACGAACGAACGAGGACAAAATAGACGACATTTCGTCCACTTTGTCCACTTTGTCCATCGGTTGCATGGCAGACCGAGGGCGTTCGGGCGACCCGAGCGACCAACGGCGGGACAGGCGGGAGGTTGCTTGGTAGTGCTGGGGGAGGGGAGGAGGGGCGGGGGGCGGGGTGGGAAGGGCGCGGATTAGCAATACTCGACTCATTTCACACTTTCGTCTCCCTCACCTACTATGTCGTCCCAGCAAGCTGTGATCAAGAACGCTGACATGTCTGAGGACATGCAGCAGGACGCCGTCGACTGCGCCATGGCTGCCCTTGACCGCCACTCGATCGAGAAGGACATTGCTGCCCACATCAAGAAGGAGGTACGTATAGACATGTACCTCCCACCATTCCCACCACCATCACACACACTACATATACACTGCATGTACCACTCCCTCCCCCTCTCCCCACTCCCCTCACCCCTTTCTATCTCCATTCCCCCCCCCCCCCCCCTTTCCCCCCCCCCCTGCCCCCCCACTCGGCGCGCTCCCTCCGTTTCCCGCCGGACCGTTTTTTGCCTCAGTTTGACCATTTGTGGGCGACACAGCACACAGCAGCACACACCGGTTCCGGTTGGCGCGCCAGCACTCTTGCCACCCTCTCTGGCTGCCATTCCCCTCACCATCACCCAACACTCTTTGTGCTTGTGACTCACGTTTAACCCTTGCCATATGCACATGCGTATGGATGTATACCTGTGTGTGTGTGTGTGTGTGTAGTGTACGTATGATGCGAGGGCGATGACATGGTGATGTTGCCCATGGTGATGTTGCCCAGGATCATGCCCAAGAAGATGGTGACCATCGGTTTCCCTCTCCCCGTCGTTGTCATCACTACCCTTTCGCTTCCTCTTCCGCTTCCCCTTCTCCTTTTCAACCCCTCACCCTCTACTCACTCCCCCTCCTCCCCCCTCCCTCCCTCCCCCCCCCCCGCCCGCACTCGTCACCCGCATCTAGTGTAAGTCCTCCTCCTCTTCCTCTTCCTCGTTCTCCCCTACCTCCCCATATCCCCTGCCTCACTCACAAGGATCTCTCCATTCACAGCGACCGCAAGCACCACCCGACTTGGCACTGCATCGTGGGCCGGAACTTTGGCTCGTACGTGACCCACGAGACCCGCGCGTTCATCTACTTCTACCTCGGCCAGATCGCGGTCCTCCTGTTCAAGTCGGGCTAATCGCACGGAGTAAACTCCCAACCTTGTCTCAATGCCAGAGGCATTTATCAGCAGGCTAAGCAAAGCCAAAGCCGACGTAGCCCTCGCCGATGGCGAGTAGCAGCTTGCGCTCGAGCTCTTCCTTGGAGCCGTACTTGGGGAGATCGAGCATGTTGTAGCACGAGTGCGACGTCGGGAGCGCGTCCTTGCGCTTGGTTGCCTGAATCTGGAACCGCTGGATGCCACGCATACCCTGCAGCGCCGAGAAGCCGGCGACCGGGACCCGCGACGAGCCGGTGACAAACTGGACGAGCTTGGCCAGCTGCTCCTGGTCAAAGGCCGAGACAACTTCCCAGAACCACACGATCTGCGGCGACGACGGCTTGTACCCGGTGCCGTACTCGGTGTTGGCCCGCAGGTCGTTGATGTCGATGGTAGGAAGACCGGCAATGAGCAACTCGAGCTCCTTGGGCGTAAACACGGCGAGCAGCTCGGGATCCACGAGCTTGTGCACGCCACCGAGGAAGGCCTTGAGCTGGTCGGCGATGCCGGTGGTGAGCTTGAACTCCACGAGGAGCCGCACGTACTCGGCCTTGTTCTCGTCCGTCAGCAGGATGTCCTCGCCGCCGTCGACGAGCGGCACGATCTTGTGTGCACCAAACTCATCGACTGCCGTCGTAAAGTTCTGGTACTCCAGCCCGAGCTCCTCCACAGCCGTGTTGAGCACACACACAAGCGAGGCGTACAGTGTCGGGTCGTACGCCTTGAGGTCCTCGAGCGTCACGCGCTCGCCAAGCATGTGTTTGTACAGCGCACGTGTAAAGTAGACAGGCAGTGCCTGGCCGTCGCACAGCGCCTTGCCGAGCACCACGCCCACAAACGTAAAGTAGTTGAGGTGCGCCGGGTTGACGCCCGACTTTTCGTTCGGCTGGTACGTCGAGCCCTCCTGTGACGACTCGAACAGCCCGTACGCCGGGTTGAACATCTCCGTCGCAAGCACCTGGTACCACTCGCGGGTCACGCCGCCTGCGTCAACACCAGGCTCGCCCTCAAAGGCCACGCGCATCCGTCCGCGCAGCTGATTGGCAGGCAGCGACCAGAGCTGCTGGTACGAGTCCTCAAACACATGGTCGCGCCGGACACGGATCGAGATCCGCCCGCCGCGCGCAGCCTCGGCCGCCTCGCGCACAGCCTGACGGAACAGCACCCGCTTGTTGTCAAAGTCGAGCACAGCCTTGGCCACGTCCTTCCGCTCGAGCAGGACCGCAAAGCTCGAGTGCAGCAGCTCAACGTTGTCGCGCACAAGTGCGTTCAGCAGCCGCCGGTGCCGCGACGCAAACGTCACAAAGTCCAGCACTGTGCCCTCACTGCTACCCTCCTCGGCCTCCTCCTTGAGCTTGCCAGTCGACGGCGACGTCGTGAGCGTCGACGGCGGCGGCTTAGGTCGCGACACCATCGCAAACATGGCAATCGACGGCACAAGTTGGAGCATCACGTCGCGCACAGCCGCAGACACCTGCGCTGCCTCGAGCTCGGCCTCTTCGAACATCATGCTCGACCCGCCCTCGCCACCGCCCGACGTGCCGGCCTCGCCCTCGCCAGCCGCCGCCGCCGCCGCAATTCCAGCTTGCTCGCCAAGCGCCGCAAGCACGAGGTCGAGGCCGGTGGTCAGCGGCTCGAGCACCATGCCGAGCTGCTCCATCGTCGCCTCGGCTTCGGCCTCGGCCGCCGCCTTGGTCGCTGCCGCTGCTGCTGCTGTCGCCTTGGCCACCGCCGCTGCCGCTGCCGCTGCCGCTGCTGCTTGGTCGTCTTCCCCCTCCCCCTCGCCTTCGCCCTCACCCTCGACCGAAGTCGCAGGCTCTGGCTCGACCGCTGGCTCGGCCATGGATGCAACCTCAGCCTCGGCTTCGGCCTCTCCGCTTGCCGCCACCATCTTCAAAGTCTCCACAAGCCGCGCGAGAACGCCCTGGTCCTGCACCGCGCAGAGCGAGACAAGATCAAGGCTGGCGTGGGCAGCAGGGCTCGAGCCCGAGCCCGCTGCCGCCGCCACCAGCTTGTTGAACGAGGCCACGACTGAGGCGACCACGCCTTCCAGCGCCGCCATGAGCATGGCCTTGAGCTCCGCCCGGTTGGCCGGCGTGCGCGCCAGCGCCGCAACAACCTCCTGCACTTGCTTCATCGTCGCCTCGGGGTACGAGCCACGCAGGACCGAGACAACAGCAGCGAGCACAGCCTGCTCCACCTCACCTACGTCGGCAGCGCCCTTCAGCACCACGTTGAGCAGCCGGAGGAGGAGCGAGAGCGTATGGGCCTCGGCAAACGGCCCCTGGCCCACCAGCCCCACCAGCGCCGCCAGCGAGCTCCCGCTCAGCATCGCCACCACAGGCTTGTTGACCGAGCAGAGGAAGGTGAGGATCTCTACAACCCGCCGAAGCACAAGGCTCGGCACCCGGCTCTCGCGCTCGCCGCCGTGAGCACGCCCAAACAGCGTCAGCCGCTTCACGCCAAACAGCGGCGCGGCAACAAGACTAGCCACCGCGCGCGCCATCTCGTCCGCCGGATCGACCTCCTCCTTGCCCTTGCCTGCAACCCGCGGCACTCCGCGCCAGCCCTTGAGCACACCCACCAGCAGCGCAAGCATGCGCCGCCGCGGCTTGGCCTGTGCACACACGCTCGCCAGCACCCGCTCCATCACCGCCTTTTCCACCGGCTTGGACAGATAGAGCAGCCGAACCAGCGCGTACAGCGCACCACGAGTCACAAACGGCTCGCCGTCGACATCGGCGTCCTCGGTATGCAGCGTGACACGGTCAGGCTCGGCCGCAAGCCCAGTCGCCCGCGGCGCGCTCGGCAGACCACGGGCCATGTTTGCCCATCCAGACCCGCCTCCTGCCCCTCCTGCCCCACCGCGGCCAGCATGCGGCACGCCTCCGCCGCCACGCCCGCCACCGCCGTTGCCAAGCCCAAACCGCCGCGCGCTCCGCTCGCGCAGCGCAAACGCCTCGGCCCGAATGTCTGGCGGTAGCGTGTTGAGGAACGCGTCGTCCGACGTCAGCAGCACCTCGCGTCGGAGGTCCGGCGTCAGTGACATCACAAACGCAAGATTCTCCTCGGCCGCAGACTGCGTGTTGGACGCGCTGCCTCCTCCGCCGCCGGCGCCGCGCAGCAGTCGCTCCTGCTGCAGTCGCTCCTGCTCCAGCACTTCCGCCTGTAGCTCGGGCGGCAGCGCCGCCAGGAACTCTGGGTTCACCGAACCGACTCCACCGCTGGTGTCACCACCGGTGCTTCCGCCGGCCGCGGCCTCGCGCTCGCGCCGCCGCTCGCGCCGCCGTTGTGCCACTAGTGCCTCGTGCTCGGCCACCACCTCGGCACGCATCTCAGACGGCAGTGCGGCCAGGAAAGCCTCGTCAATCGGCTCAATGCCGAGCTCAGACAGGGTCTCCTCCCGGTCTTCGACCTGGGCCTCGGCCTCGACCCCTGCCTCGGCCTCGACCCCTGCCTCGGCCTCGACTCCTGCCTCGGCCTCGACTCCTGCCTCGGCCTCGACTCCTGCATCGGCCTCGACCCCTGCCTCGGCCTCGACCCCTGCCTCGGCCTCGACCCCTGCCTCGGCCTCGGCTCCAGCCTCGGCCGCGGGTTCACCCTCCAACGCAGTCACCTGCGCCTCGGCCTCAACTTGAGCACCCGCCATCGCGAGCTCCACCTCGAGACGCTGCCGCTGCCGCTCCTCCTCGTCGGCTTCGACAGCATCCACGGCCGGTTCCGCTCCGCCCTCTGTCTCCACAGGGGCTTGGGCCTGGGCCTGGGCCTGAGCCTCGGCCTCAGCCTTGGCTTGAGCCTCGGCCTCAATCGCTTCTGTCCGCTCGCGACGAACATTCTCAAACTCGGCTTGCATGGCAATCTGCTCCTCGCCGAGAATGGCCCGCACCAGCTCGACAACGTCCGACGAGACAACGTCGCCACGCGCAGTGAGCACCATCTCGTAGTCAAGGCGCCGCTCGACCGGCACCACCACCGTGTGCGGCACTATCGTGTTCGAGTCAAACAGGTCTGGAAGAAGTGGATGCGCGAGCGTGTACGACACCGTATGAGCGGCTGTGCCGGCGCGTGCAGAGAGCATTTCGGCCGCGCGCGGGTCAGCCTGCCGCAGTGAAACCACCACGTTGGCGGCTTGCTCGTAGCTCAGCTGCGAGAGCCGCGTCAGGCGCCCATTGATCGAAATGACTGTATCTTCGACGTTGCTCACAGGCAGGCCGAGATGCTCCAGAAGCTGGATGTCAAGCCCGGCACGCGCCGCAGGCGTAAGGTTGTCCTCGCCGCCGGCTTCGCCCGTCCGCAGTTCAAACCCGTCCTCAGCCTCCCACTCGGGCTCGATGACCCGGCTTGCCCCACCCAGCACCTCATCAAGCTCAAAGTCGTCCGACATCGGGAGGTCGTCCAGGTACACACCGTCGTCGTCGTCGTCGATGTCGTCAAAGTGATCCGCCTCGTCGTCCGAGTACGTCGCTGACGAAAGCGCGTCAAGCTGTTCCATCGCGTGCACACCGTCTTCCTCAAGAAGCGATTGCACAATGCTGGCCGTATCCGGGAAGAGCGCCGCCACAGCCTCGCCGTCGCTCAGATCAGATCCGGTCTCATCAGAGTCCGAGTACAACTCGTTGGCCTGAATGGGCCATTGGCCGGCGCGCTCCTCCCTCCCCATCTCACCGTCGTCATGCTCTTCGTCGTCGTGTTCGTCGTACGAGCTCGTCGACTCGGTCTCGCTGTCGTCCTCGGCCCACACGCCGACGACCATGTGCTCGTCCGACGCCGGCAGCGGGACCTGGCTCTGCACCTCCGACGGTGGGTGCAGCGACTCCAGAGTCGATGCATTCATCGCTCCGGTCCGCGCCTTGGCCCGGCCCGCACCCTGCGGAAGTGAATGAGCACCGCCAGCGGATGCATCACCGCGTTAGCCATCGCCCGGGCGTTGGCCGACTCGAGGTCCATCTCCTCAAGGAGCCGGCAGAGCGCCGTTACCGCTCCGGCCTCGATCAGCATCGCGGCCACACCCACACGGACCGTGCCATTCTTTGTCACCAGTGCCGTCCGAAGCCAGCGTGCCAGCCGCATTGCCTGCTCCTCCGAGCCGGGCGATTCCAGCGCGCCAACCACAGCTCCAGCCACCGTACTGCGAGCCGGACCCTTGCTCGAGCCCACGCCTGCCAGCACCGCGCCGGCAGCCTGCCGCGTCGCCTCATCCTTGCTCTCTACCACTTCGTGAAGAACCGTTGCCACGCACGCTGGTGAGAGCACCAATGACACGGCGGCCGGCCAGCTGAGTGCAACTTCGGCCAACAGGACAAGAACAAGTTTGCGTTCCAACTCGGCCTCGCCCGCCTCCGCCTCTTCCTTGCCCTTGCTGCTGGACACGGCCAGAGACTCGAGCTTGCTCACTGCCCACTTGAGAACGCCCAGGCCACGCTCCGGAAGATCGCCTCGCGCCAGTGCCGCCTTGGCACCCGGCTCGTCACCCGATCCACTCGCGGGAGGGCTGTTTGAAGTGCCGAGTGCACGCTCCAGCGCCTTGAGCACGTCACGCCGCTCGTCCGTCTTGGACACCACCAAGCCCGGCTGAACCGTCGAGTTGGTTGCGACAGCCCGGAGCGCAGCAAGGAAGGTGTCACCGCCGCGGACCATCAACGCCTCGGTCGTCTTGACAAAGTCGTGGATGTTTGGAAGCTGCGCACGCGTACCCGCTTCGTCCAGGAATCGCTCCAGCTCAGTCTCTAGTTCGGCCTGCAGCACGCCTGGCTCACTCTCGAGCACGTGGTGCATCAGCATCGACGCAAGGAGAGGCAGATTGTCGAACGGGTACTTGGCCCCAAGAGCCACAACAGTAGACAGGCCGTCGGCCTCGTGGAATGCCACCGCTGCCTCGCTCTCGACACTTGCCACGACAAGGACACGCACTGCAGCCTCGAGCACGTCTGCACTCAATGCCTTGTCCACAGCCGAGAGCGCGGCAAGCACCCCGTGCACCACCTCGGCAGGAGCCACCGGGAGCGAGGACGTCTTGGAAAACACAACACAGCCGTCCTCGACCCGGCAACCCACAACCTTGAGTCCGTGCTCAACAAGCGCAAGCAGCGGCCCAAGCGTCGACACCTGGTTGCACGACTGCAGCGCACTCGCCACTGCCGCAAGCTCCTTGTCCTCCAGCGCCACCGACTCTTCGCTCACAAGCTGCACGAGGAGCGCTGCCGCGCCCGGCGCATGCAAGTCGCTCAGCAGCTGCCGCTGAACAGCGTCGGGCGTCACGGGCGCAAACTCTTCTCGCTCCGACGTCAGAAGCGTGTTGAACAGCGACCGCGCCGCTCCCACCATGGCATGCGACGCTTCAGGCCGTCCGGCAAGCCACAGCGCAAAGTCAAGTAGCGGGCAGACAATTGCGGGCTCGGGCTGCGGCTCAGGCTCGGGCTGCGGCTCAGGCTCGGGCTGCGGCTCGAGCTCAGGCTGCGGCTCGACCGCTGTGTCGTCAGCGGCGTTGCTCATCGCCTCACCGCCGCTAGCCTCGTCACCCATAGCCTCTTGGAGCGAGAGCGCAATTGCGCGCGCAAGTTCGTCCTCCGCACTGCCGCCGGCAGAAGTCGACGCGCCGCCTTCGGCCTGCTGTGGCGGATGAGCAAAGAGCCAGTCGAGAGCGGCACTGACATCGGAGCCACCGACGGCCCGCAGCGCAGTGGTAGCGTTCACGCGCTCAACACCCATCGACATGACTGCCGCCAGCGACGTCGCGCTCACCTCGACCTCGCTTTGTTGCGGCGGGCCGTTGGCTCCACCGCTCGCCGGCCCGCCGGTTTGCGAGCCAGCCCGCCGCCGAAATGCATCAAAGAGCGAGCCAATGCCTTCCTCGTCCTCGAGCGCGCCCTCGAGCGCGACCTCCGCCTCACGCGCAGAGTCCAGCAAACCTTCCATGTACGACAGCGCCGGCTCGTTCGGGTTGGTCCGCATGACCCGCATCAGATCCGAAATCGAAGATGCCAAGCCGCTTCCGCTTCCCCGCCCGCTGGACGAGCCCGACTCGGTGCCCAACGCAGCCGACGCGACGACGGCAGCCAGCGGGTCGGCTTTGGTCACGCAGTTCATCAGCGTTGCCACCACGCTCAGCTGCGCCTCCTCATGGAGGACAGTCAAGAGGCGGGCGCCGCTTGGCGACGGCAGCCACAGCGGCTCCAGCATCTTTGACACCGACGCTTGGGTCTGCTCCACCCACGAGACCGGGTTGAAGATCCGGCTCCGTAAATCCGAGTTGCTCGCGGCCTTGACAAGCCGGGTAAACTGCTGCGACTCGGCGAGGCTAGCCGAGTCAGTGAGGCCAGTGACGAGGTCAAGCAAGTTGCTGCTCGCCTTGAGCAGCGCTGCCCGCTGCTCACTCTCGGTCTCGCTCAGCTCGGCGTCCGCATCCGGGTGCGCCGAGACCCAGTCAACGAGACTAGCCACAATGCACCCGCCCATGCTGAGGACGTTGTCAAGGAACGGACCCATGGCCGCCATGGCGTTGAGCAGAAAGGCGTCGGCGGCCGAGCCACCGGACGGGCCAAACAGAAACACGTGGAACGTGTCCAGAATGCCCGCGGCAAAGCGCAGCGCCGGCGCGTCGAGCAGCGTGTGAGGCGACACTGTCCACGACGGCGCCGACACGCAAGCGTGGTACGCGTTGACCAGCAAGTCGGCCAGATCCAGCGCGCTGCTCGCGCCGTCGCGGTCCGAGCTGTGCGGCGAGTACCCGTATCGCCGCGACCGACGCGTCTGCTGCACAATAGCCATGACCGCGCCAAACAGCTGGTTGACAACACGGACAAGCTCCACTTGAGCCAGCGTCACATCCGATCCGGAGGCAGCCTCATCCGACTCGGGCTTGACCACCAGTGTAGCCCCAAGACCCTCGGCGGGCACCACCACTACGTAGCCGTCGTCGGCGAGCACTTGAGCCACCTGAGCGTACATGCTAAAGAGCTGCTCACAGTGGGCCCGCGACGGTGCAGACGTCCACGCCTGCAGCGCCGAAGACGGCAAGTTGTTGCCAATAAAGTCGTTGGCAAGCTGCTTGAGAAGCTTGCTGTACGCTCGGACCGCCCGCAGCACCTCGAGCGTCCGTGCTGCCAGCGGCTTGGTGGCATGCATCGAGACCTGCGCCAGAATGTCGTTGAGCGTCGCCGTCGCATGCCCGACCGCCACCTGCCGTACCACAGACATGACAGCCACCTGCGAGCCCTCGGGCAGAGCGCCAAACTCAGCAATGAGGAGCTGGTGCCCGCCGCGCACCACAAGCGCCTCAATCATGGCCTCGTTGTCGATGGCATGCACAATCGCCCGGAATGCGGTGTGCACATCGGCGAGCTCACTCGTCTCGCTCCGCATGCCCTCGATGACAGTATGCAAGAGCTCAACCAGCGCGTCCATGGCTGGGTCGAGCAGCTCGCGCCGGCTCTGGAGCAGTTGCGAGAGCGATGGGCCGATGTTGGTGATGGTGAAACCGGTCTCCGGTACCCACAGGCTGTTGACCATGTGAACAACCGAGCCGCGGCTGCGGACAAGCTCAAAGCCCTCGTTGCGGACACAGATCGCGTGCAGCACCATGCACGCCATCTGCATCGCTTCGTGCGACGATTGCAGCACTCGCGACTCGAGCCCTGTCAGGTATGCCTCAGGAAGCCCAGCTGCGAAGAGAGGCTCCGCCGCTGCCGCGTCCGCGTTGATCAAATGGTAGACCAACGACGACGCCGCCGCTACCACCTCGGGCGTGTACGGCGAGTCTGTAGCTGCGCCGCGCGAGAACATGTCCTTCAGCGCCGTCGCCAGCGGCGACTGTGCAATCGTTCCGAGGTGCATCGCCATCTCTGGCCGCCTCACAGAGTCCGTCAGCAGCTCCATCGCCGCCACAACAACATCTGCCCGCTGCGCGTCCTCCACCGCGTCGGACGCCTCTGGGTCTGGGATCGACATCGTCGACGTCGACCGTGGTAGCGGGATCCGGAGCGACCCGCCCGCCCCGCCCGGAAGCTGGAGGCTCGGCCCACTGCTCGTTGCCTCGTTCGTGCTGTTCGTGCCGTCGACCTCGCCGGACGCTTGCAGCAGTGCAACCTCGGTCGTCAGCCGCTGCAGCACCTTGGTCCATCCGTCGCCTTCAAACAGCGCTGCGATCGCTACCGGCTCGCCCAGCAGAAGATTCATGATGCGCAGCGCGGCTGCGGCAACCAAAAGATACGCTGGCGTCAGCCGCTCCAGCAGAGGTACAAGCGCGTTGAACACGCCCGACTGCGCTATCCGCGATGGCATAAGGAGGACCACCACACGCACCACCTCGAGCAGCGCCAGCGCCTCGGCCACAGACGCCTTACCGGCCTTGAGCTGCGACAGAACCACCCGCAGCCGCGTCGGCAGCGCCCCAGCGTGATGGGTCACATCCAGCGCTTCCAGGACTTGCTTCCGGTGGTGCGACGCTGTGCTGAGGATCGGGACCAAAGCCTTGAACACCAGAATCCGCGTAGCGTCCGGCACGCCGGCGGCCTCGTTGGCGAGCGCCACCTGCATCGCGCTTGTCATAAACTTCGGCTCGATCATGTGAAGCGTGTTGGCCAAACGCGGCGGGAGCGTACCCCAGTGCATGAGGAGCATAGCCGAGACCACCAACCGCTCATTAACGGCTCGGACACGGGCGTCACGGCCTGAGTTGAGCGCGTGCGATCGCTCTACAGCCGCTACAAGGCCCATGATGGCCGATCCGGCAAGCTTGCTCGACTCGGCATGCTCAGACCAAAGCCGCATCACCGTCTCCTCCACCGCTGCAGTCGTCGGTGCCACAACCGCCGGACCAGTAAACTCGACCAGCGGCCCAACAGTATTGCTCTTGTTGGTTGGCTTTTGTGGCCACGCCCAGTCAAGGCCGGCCGCAGCCGTCGCCGCTGCGTCGGTGGCCTCAGCCCGCGCCGCTGCCACCGACGAAAAGCAGTCGAGCCCCTCTTCGTGAGAGCCGAGGCCTGCCGCGAAGTGGCCGCCCACGTCGAGAACCGCATCGCGGACCGGGAGCAGCTCCGGCTTGTCAGTGTCAAGCGGAAAGTACACCAACACCTCAAACGCAGCCAGCCGGATGCTGCGCGAGCACATGTGCACCAGCGCCACCACATACGGCCACGAGCCGTAGTACTTGGTCGAAGCGCCGCCATTCTCCAGCAGTATGCACGTCACACGGAGAACTTCAACCACAGCCTGCTCCGGGAAGCTCTCACTCGCCACCCGGAGCACAGCGGCATCGTCGCCCTCGGGCCACACCTGGGTCGCCCCCACGCTCCGCTCCAGCACCTCGTCAAAAATGTTGAGAATGGGCGCCAGCGAGAGAAAGTACACCGGCCCGGTGTACTCGGGAAAGCCGAGGAGGCAGTCAACCAAGGCTGCTTCGTCGCCCACGTCGACCGTCTCCAAGCTCTCGGCCCACTCGGCCACCGTCTTGGGAAGCGGTGGCAGCCTGCCCCGCGCATTATCAGCAACCTCTATCTTCATCTATGTTGTGTCTCCTTGCTTGTTCCTCTCCAACTTGCCAACCTTGCTTCTTTGCCTTCACACCCAGCAACGCGTAGTTCAGAAACCGGACAGGGGCGGGAGCGGGGACTGCGACCTGTGTGGCGTCACACCGCTTTCGTCAGTCCGGTCATCGAACGCTGTTCCCCCTTCCTTCCCCCCCCCCCCACCACACACCCCATACCGCCACACCCTTCCACACCCTCTCGACCTCTGTCCCCTCCTTCTACCCTCCGCCCTACACACCGTGGGTGGCCTATGATATATATGCTGTATCCTCCGCTCTCCTCCCCACTACTCCCCACCCGTACGTACTAGCGAGAAGAGGTGACTACCTCGAACTCCGCATTCTTCCATTGGCATTGGCTGTCGTCTCGCTTAGCCGTGTGGCCCCCTTGCCAGCTGAGCTAGGCATGCCTGACTGGCAAAGCCCGCTCCCGCCCGCTGGACACCAGCTGCACACACGACGACTGCGGCGAGCAATTGCTTGCAATCAGAGATCTTTGGTGTGAAAGTAGCTACCTCTGCCGCGTTGATCGCTGCGGCCATTTACATCACTCACTGCCGGCGGTCATCTTACGGACGCTGATGGCCTCGTGCTTTGGCGGTAGTGAGCTTTGATTCGCGCGTTGGAGGTAGATAGCTAGACAAGCTCGTCTCCGCGTCCATTAAACTGGTGGGCATCGTCCGAGGCCGATGAGCCAAACAGATCGTGCAGATCGTCGTCGCCGCCACTGGTCCGGCCTCCGGCTGCATTACTGCGGGAAGCGCGGTTCACCGGCGTGCGGGTGAAAGGAAGCGCAGTCATAGGAATGGAGAACGGAACTAGACGCACGTCCTCAGCGGACGCATCGCCGGAGGTGCCGCCGGAGCCAGTGGCGGGTGGCGGAGCAAACGGCCGCGATGGGAGTGGGGCGAGGACAGGCAGCAAACACTTGACACACACGGCTGTCACCGCCTTGGGCACCACCATCGAGTGCATGCCGCCTAGGTCGGAGCGGTAGAGCAAGCCAGCCGCGACGCCGGTTGCTGCCACGGCAAGCGAGTGCAAGCCCGACGCAAGCGCCAGTTGCGCGCCCAGGACATAGACAAACAACTTGTTGTTGAGAGGAAGGTGTGCCACCGTGAAGCGGTACGTCATCGGTACATCGTAGTAGAACTTGACGAGACAAGCAAATATGAGGCCGTATGGCCCGGGCAAGAGCGCCACCACACCGTAGGGCGCGAGCAGAGAGAGAAGACCGATCTGCAGCAGCGTCGCCACGCTCGTTACCAGCATGGCAAACATGGCAAACTTGGGCCCTGACAGCTGGCGCTCAAACTGCCGAAAGTAGTAAAGCAGGAGCAACCCCAACATGAGCTCCGCGGCCGAGCCAAAGGCCCATGGCGCCGTGGCTAGCCGCCACACCTGCCCGTTGCGTACCACACCAGGCAAGTACAACGTCCACGCATGCCTCCATCCCAAGACAGAACCCAGAATCGAGGCCAGCCCCACACCCACCACCACACCCTTGGACACCCAAGCGTTGACAAAGCCCGGTACGCCCTCAAACAGCATAATCGTGATCGCAACAGTCAGCCGCAATCAGCAGCAGCACGTCAGCCCCTGGACGCCTCTGGCCGTCGTTCACCTTCCTTCCACGCCTCGCCTCTCAGCAACCAGCCAGCCTGTTAGCCAATCAATCAACCAGCCACCCACACGCACACCCTCCCACACCTCCAACTCTCGTTGTCTTGTCCAAAGGAGAGAGGTTGAAGAGAGGTGCTATCCCCTCCTGCTCTCAACCATGTCTACCCACGGGGTGACGGAAGGTGGGTGATCATGATCGTGATCGCGATCGCGATCGCGATCGTGTCCAGCAAATCAAAGGCGCGGCCATGTTCCGCTTGTAACGGCGGTGCTTGGCGGCGGGCGGGGGTGGGTGCTGGCGAGGTCGGACGTTGAGAGTTACTAAGGGCAAAGAGGTTTGACCACGGCTCTCACGAGGGAACAGCTGGCAAGAGCAAGCGCCAGACCATGAGCAGCCCGAGTATGGGAGGTGGAGAAGGGAATAGTGGAGCAGGAGGCTTGGTTGGAGGTGGTGCTGGCGATGGCGGTGTTGGCGGTGGCTCTGGCGGCGGGAGTGGTGCTACTGGCTCGGCCCAAGCTGCAGCATCGTTGTCGCCCATGGTGCCTCCGCGAAACTTGGGACGAGGTGGAAGCAGTGCTGGTGGAAGTCCAAGTGGCGGTGGCAGCGGTGGCAGCGGCAGTGGTGGTGTTGGGGGTGGAGGGACCAGCGCTGCTGCGCCGGCCGTTCCGCTCAACATCGACCTCCCGCTGTGGTCAGACTCGTTGCTTGCCTCGACTCGGTGGCACGGCTCGTCTAAGCCGCCTTCGCCGCGGTCGTCGCTCGATCCAAAGCCGAGGACAACCGGCAACGGCAGCAGTCACGCTAGTTCGGGTGGGGCAGGAACCGGCAGTGGCCGGAGCGTTGGCGAGCGGTCGTCTCTGGCACACCAGGGCTCGGCATCGGCGACCTCTATCTCTCGCGGCTCGCGCAAGTCACGCAAGTCTGGCCACAGCAATGGCGGGAGTGGCGGCGGAAGCGGTCCCTCACCGGGGCCGTCGGCGCCGAAGACATCATCTTTCTCGCCGCTGTACGAGGATCTTGTGTACGGCGAGCCCAAGGTTCCCAAGTCAATGGCCGCGCTCATCGATCACTGGGAGAGGCTGTATCCGTGCTACCTGCGGACGTACGGGACAACCACCGTGTCTGTACCGAGTGGAAGCGAGAGCTCGTCGAGCTCGCGGAGCGGTGGTAGCGGCAACGGCAAGAGCGGCGAGGCGAGTGGCGGAGACGGCGAAGTGACGGCCGAGACCGCGACTGGCGCCTCGATTGCGAGCCGACGCAAGTCGATGTCCCGCCACCTTTCGTCACATGAGCTGGTCTCGTCGCACGGCGTCTCCCTGGCGTCGGCGCTGGAGAAGGCACAGAGTCAGTATGTGAGCCAGCAGAAGGTCTCGGTCCTTCCTGCGGTGCCGGCTGTCCACATTCCGGTTGTCCGCGAGACCGAAGTTTCGATTGCCAGCACCATCGGCAAGCTCCCGCATCCGCTACAGTTGCTGGTTGACGCCGGCGTTGCGCCCGGCACGCCGCTTAACGATGTGCCGTCGCTCCTTACAACCATTGCCAGCCATCTCGGGCACTCGGGCACGATGAAGCGCAAAGCGCTGGTGTTTGACAACGACAAGGCTAGCAGCGGTGGCGGTGACGACGATGCTGCCCCCGGCTCGGGCGGCTCGTCGCACAAGAACACGGCCTCCAGCGGCCACGCGAGCAAAGCTGCAGCCAAGCGCGCGCGGCGCGGCAAGTCTTCCAAGGTTTCAAGGCGGGCCACCGGTGGCGATGCTGGCGGTGGTGCTTCGGGTGGAGGCGGAGGCGGTAGCTCGGGCGGCGGCGAGACGGCGACGCTGCCGCGGATGTGGAAGACGTGCGATGAGGGTGTGGTGCTCGATGGTCCCGCTTCGGCTCCGCCTGCCAAGCTCTCGGTCCTCCCTGCCAAAGTCACGGAGGAGCGAGTCTCGGACGTCCGCGACATGTACGGGCTCGTTCTTCCGTCGGAGCGCGACGAGACGGTGATGACGTTGGCGTGGACACTTCGCATCATGCACATCAAGCGCAAGACGCTGGCACGGAGCGATTTTCTGTGGGAGAATCTCTATCCGCAGGTCAACGGCGTGCCGGTCTTCAATCCAGCGGGCAAGTACCTGCTCAAGGTCCATCTTGGCGGAACGGCCTACGCGCTTCCGTTTGACGACCGGCTTCCTGTCTCGGCCTCGGGCGAGGTCCTGCTGCCACGGTCGGCGCATCGCGGTGAAGTCTGGCCGTGGCTGATGGCCAAGGCGCTCCTGGTTCTTCATGCTAGGCTTGGACTGGTGGATACGGGCACAAGCTCGAGTGTGAGTGTCGGCGTTGTCGCCCAGCCCGCGCCTGCACGGCCGCTGGCGTCTACCCGGCCTGCCCCGTCACAGCGAACCCTCTCTGCGTTACACCGGTTCCTGCGGCAGGCGCCGTCGGCATCGGCGACGCCGTGGATGCTCTCGTGGCTGACGGGGTGGGCACCAACAGCGGTGCCCATTCCGCACCCGTCGCATGCATCCGAACTTGCCGGCGAGCGCGTGTGGGATGCCATTCACGACGCGGTCAAGCGGCAGCTGATTGTGGTGGCCGAGGCGCATGTCAACTCCAAGAAGCACGTGTATGTGTGCCTGCAAACTAGAATCCACCCGGTCCACGGCCGGCAGTTGCTAGTGGATACAGCGACGCCGCCCAAGCCAGCACCGTCTGGGGCATCGCGGACGGCTCCACGGCCGGGCAGCTTTGCTGCGGTTGACTCACCCGGGCGGGCCCGGGCGGCGCCCGAGGTCCATGCGCCTGTCCGGCGCCGGCCGGCGCTCGGCGATATGGCCCGCATCCAGCGGACGGCTACCTTCCACACCATGCCCAACGTTGCACAGACCGGGGCGGGTACCACGTCCAGCGGGCCGCGGCCGTCGTCGCCTTCGGCCTCGTCCGAGTACTACGACTCGGCCGAGGCTTCAGAGCGGGCGACGTCGTCGGCGTCGTCGGTGGCCGAGGTGCCCAAAGCGCGGCGGGCAGTCTCGTTCGCCGAGTTGCCCGACGTTGCACCGAGCGGAGCTGGGCCGTCGGAGGCGTCAACACCGACCGGCGTGGCTGGCCACGACACCGCACGCGAGGCTACGCTCGACGCGCCGATCAAGCTCCCGTCTGTGGTCAAGCACCCTGTGCGGATCCAGCAAAAGACACCCGAGTGGGTCTCTTACCTCGACTTTATGGAGCTGTTCTCGGTCCTCTTTGTTTTCCGCGACCCGCGTGGATACCACGCGCGGCTGGCGACGCATGTTGTGGACCCTGCCCGCGATGTTCTTGCACCGCCCAAGCCGGCGCACCACGCGATCCAGCTGGGCGACGTTGGGGTCGACGACCGTGCACCACCAGCGCTGGCGCGCTATGCGCTCATGGTCGCAAACCCGATGCGTGCGTACCAGTCGTCGTATGTGGGTGCAAAACACGCGAGCCTCTCGATCGGTGTCGGAAACGTCGACCTTGCCAAGGCCTCGGGCCTCAACACCTCCAGCAGTGGGACGGAGAGCCGCAAGAGTGCGTCGCGCAAGAAAAAGTCTGCCTCGGGTGGCGACGACAAGGCTGGAGGAAGCAGCAAGCGCGGCGGAGACAGGCACGGAGACGGACATGGGTACGGGCACGGGCACGGGCACGGGCACGGGCATGGGCATGGTCACAGTCTTGGCGCAAGCAGCGCCAGTGGTGTATTAGGGCGCGACAGTGGCAAGCGGCAAGCACGCTCCCGCGGCGGCGGCGGTGCGGTTAGTGGCGAGTCTGGTGATCAGGGAGCGACAAGCACCGGGCCGACGTTTGCCAACTCGTCCGCGGCGAGTGGCATAGGCAGCATGCTAGGCGGGTCGTCGAGCGATGCGCTGGCGATCAATCCATTTGCGGTGGCCGGCCGGGCGGCGACGCCAATGATCTTGCACGTTGTCGTATCTGAAGCCGCGGTGAATGACGTGAGCGGTGGTGGCGGCGGCGGCTCACGGGTGTCGATGGCAACCTCGACCTCGTTTGACTCGGACGACGAGTACTACGATGACGAGGGCGACAGAAGCGAAGGTGGGAGCGGATCAGGCTCTGGCGAGAGCGGAGAGCAGCGGCGGCGGCGGCGGACCGGACCACCGCTGGTGAACGGGCAAGCGTACACGGTTCCGCCACCACCAGGCAACGAGCTCTCGCTGGTGCTTGCAGCGTCGGGAGGAAACTCGGCGACGTCGACGGTGGTGCTCAACGGGTTTGACTGGCGCGATCGCGGAAACCGGCCGACCATGGCGCTGGTGGAGACGCCGCCTGGAGAGGTGGCGTCGGCGAGCGTGCACCTGAGGCCGGGCGCGCACACCTTTACTGTTCACGTCGACGGCGCGCCCGGCGACGTACTCCTGTTCTTGGGCGGGGCATGTGTCAAGATCTACCTCGCGCCCAAGCAGCGCGTCTTGGAGACCTTCCTCGGTGTCCACGTCCAGGAGTTTACCGGGCGGGTGCCGGAGGCGCCAGACCGGGCGTGGTCGCTCTGGTTCCGCTACAACATGCGCGTCTCGCAGCAGCTTCGGATGTCTGTACAGCTGTCTGTGGACACGCCGCTGGCGGCCAAGTATGCGCAGCTGTCTGTGCTGGACCACTCGCGCGATGAGCGGTTTACGACGCCTCTGCTACACACGGCGCAGGCGCGGGTGTACAAGCCTGTTGCGGCAACAGGCGCCGACGCGCTGTACACTGTCCAGGCCGATTGCATCGTCCCGCTCGATAAGGAGGCCGGGCAGGTTGGCGGGCGGTGGCGGTTGACGTTTTGTCCGACAAGCCGTTGTCACCGGTGGCCGAGGAGACGAAGAGCGTGGTGGAGCAGGGTTGGTACCGGCGGTCGCACCGCGGCATGGTCTTCCGCTACGTGGTGACGCCCAAGGACGACGCCACGGTCGCGTTTGCTCTCAAAGTTTTGGACCCGCAGGTCAAGGTGCAGCTCCGAGTCCTCGACGTGGGAACAGCGCTCACCGGGGCGCGCCTAGATGTGGTTGACGCTGCGGCGCGGGTGCTTGGCGAGGCCGAGGCCAGTGGGCGTGTCGTGCTGCCATACGTGCGGCTGCCTGCGGTGACCGAGGGCGGTGGGCCGTCGCTGTCGCCGGCCGAGGCGAGTGAGGGCGGCGGCAATGGAGGCAAGGCCGGCGGGGCTGGGTGGCTCAACAGCTCGGCGTCGTCGCCCCTGGGCGGCCTTACCACGCTGCTGGAAGTTGACGAAAGCGCTATCGGCGGCGACAACAGCGGGGCTGGGGACGGCGGTGTGGGAGGTGCTGTGACGCTCCATCGCGGCTCGCGGTACGTGGTGGTTGGCACGCTCCAGTGTGCCAGCTGGGCCGGTTCGTTGGCGTCGCCAGACTCGCTGTCGGACGTGGCGCGCGCCTCGCCAGATGGGATGTCGGGCGCAGGAGCACCACCGAAGCGGCGGAACCGGTCGCGGCGGAGCGGCGAAGGTGACGAGTCGATGGTTTCCGGCTCTGGTGCAGGCGGAATGAGCGCGGGCGAGCCGCGCGACGCGACGCGCGAGAAGGAGAAGGATCGCAAGCGGCGGTCCAAGTCACGCGATCGGCGAGCTATGTCATCCAAGCTGCGGACCTCCGAGTCACGGTCCAAACTTGTGGATGATGATCCAAGTGAGGCTAAGCTCCCATGGTCGCTGACGGTGTACTCGGACGTGCCGCTTGGGCTCGAAGTCGACGACTCGCGGCAAAAGGAGCTGGAGACGATCAAGGAGAGCTGGGAAGCCGAGGCGCCCGGGCGGGCGACCAAGGCGGCCAAACTCCGGGCCTTGTGGCTTGAGTCGTACGCACCGTCGGGCGAGCTGCGCAGCGGTGTCTCGCTGGCATCTGTGGCTGAGCGGACAGCGTCGTCGTTGTCGATGACCAACGATGACGGAGCGCAGCTGAAGCGGTCGGCGTCGCGTAGCGGACGGCAAACACCGTCGGGCTCTCGGTCGACGCGATCGTCACGGTCGTCGAAGAAGCGATCGACGCGCGAGACTGCGCCGCCACCGGTCGACGCACACCCTGCCATCACCGACGAGCTGCGGGTGGCGACAAGCAAGCCGGTCATCCGCGGCGCGGACGAGGAGTCGGTGCTGAAGGACGCCGAGGCGCGGGCAGACGAGGCTGAGTGCATCCGCGACGCCGAGCGGGCGTTCCGGTCGGCGCGGCGCGGCGAGTGGCGACGACGCAACCGGGAGCGCAAGGCCCGGAACAAGAGCCACACCGCGTTCGATCACGAGCTCGAGTCGCTCGGTGCCAAGCTGCACCGGTACCGAACGCGAGATGCGCGGCTCCGCGAAAGCTACCGCTCGCGCAAAGCGGCCGAGCACGCCGCGGCGCGCGAGGCTGCCGAACTAGCGGTGGCCAAGGAGCGTGAGCGTGAAAAGGAGGCCAAGGCCAAGGAGCGCAAGGTGAACAAGCGTCGGCCGCGCGAGCGTGGCGAGCGTGGTGAGCGCGGTGAGCGTGGCGATCGCACCGACCGCAGCGAGCGCACCGACCGCAGCGAGCGGGTGGGCAAGAAGGAGCGGTTGTAAACAGTGAAAGCAAGCATGAGGACGAAACGTGTTTGATGTAGGTGGGATGAGATCAACTAGGCTGCGACCGGGGTGATGGGCGTCGGAACGTACTTCCAGTCAAAGGAGAGACCCTCGGCGTTGGGCACCTGGTCGAGCCAGTAGATTTCGCCAAAGTAGATGATGTACTTTGAGTTCTCGAGCCACTCAAAGGTCTTCTCGAGGACCTCAAAGGCGCAGACGGCCTTGTCGACGACTGTCTTGGACTTTGCGCACTCGTTGCCGCGCTCAAGAATGTTGTACTGCTCAAAGTAGTCGATGACCTTGGCCATGGAAGCCGGATCGTTCTGGTCGACCTTGGTCGGCGCGTTGTCGCCGACGTAGAAGTTGAGGTAGACGCGGGCCGGGGCCACATCAGCAAAGTCGGCGCCCCAAGTCTTGAGGAGGCCGAGGACTCGCCAAGCATAGTCATCGCAGGTGTATGACTCAAAGTAGACCTTGCCATCGCCGTTGTCCCACTCGGACATGACGCGGAACGTCTCGTAGGTGATCGAGTACGTGTCGTTGTCCATGGGAATCCACTTCATGAGCTTGTTGAAGACCGTCCCGTTGATGGTGCCCAACTTGATCTTGTCCTCAGTGTAGTAGTCCCAGTCGATGCCGGCGTCCCAGCACACACCGCCAGCATCGCACTGGATGAGCTCCTTGCCGTTGGGCGCTGACGCGTTGGTGACGATGTACGGGAACGAAGCCTGTAGAGATTGAGAGACAGAGAGACAAGAGTGAGTACGGATACGAGGGGGGTGAGGGGGTGGAGGGGGCGAGGGTGAGGGGATGATGGTTGGAGAGGGCGTACGTTGGGCGACTCGAAGAGGCCCTCGGCCTCAAACGAGTACTCTGCGCCGGTCGAGTTGACGACGAGCCCGATGGCTGTGTGGATGAGCTTGAGCTCCTTGGTGATGTTGCCAAGGAGAGGGATGAACTCCCAGACAGGAGCCTGGAGAACCCAGACATCGACCGTGTCATCATCAGAAATGGGCGCAGGAAGAGGCACGCCCTGGCCGGGAAGAACAGAGCAGAAGTGCAGCGAGGGCGGGTCCTGGCAAAAGGCAGGCGGCGTCGGCCGAGCCGTCACCGACACACAGAGCACAGAGGCAACAATGGCCACAACAGCCACAGCAGCAACAGTATGCATGTTGAGGTGTGGATGGAGTGAGGTGTGCCTTGCCCGACTTCGCCTCTATCGCTCCCTCTGGTCGCCACTGTCACGTGGTCGTCGCAGGGCCTTCTGCCCGACCGACGCTCGTCCGCGTGACCTGCGCATAACCTCTCGCGTGCGAGTCGGAAGAGCAAACCCATTTGGCGAGCGGCCTGTCGTTGGGCGGACCCAGGTCAAGACGGCTCGTTTTTCTCTGCTCATCAACAACAAGTCGTCCTTCGTCTGGGGCAGCTCCAGGGAGCCAATGATCGTAACGTAGGCCCCTGATGCCGTCTCCCAATAGACAACGCACCCCTCTGGCTCACTTGCGGTTCGCCGCAAGGCGCAGTCAGAGGCAATTTCTCGGCCTTTGAGCCCCCCCCCTCCCTCCCCCATCTCCCTCTCTTCTATCATCCCTCGTCTCACAGGTCTTGGCTATGGATCGTTGTGAGCGTCGCGCGTTTTGTGGCGTCGCATCGCGCTGACTACCAAGTCAGCATGGCTGATGACTGGTACCGCCATTCCTGGTCTACACAACAACAGTGGGCCACCTCTCGTGATATTGTTGCCATTGTCATCATGACACAGTCGCAGGCGCAGGCGACGACACGCTCGACAGTGCTCCCGTTTGAGGTGGTGTGGAGCGGCCTGCTGGGCTCGTACCGGATCACTCTGCGGCTGCTTCTTGCCCTCCACGGCGCCATGCTGTTCGCCTGCTCTCTGCCTGGTGCGGCCCTCGCCGCTGACATCCTCCCGCGGCTGCTCCTCGAGCTGGCCATGCTCCCCATGGTGGCCTTCTACGCATGCTTTCCGGCAGCAGCTGCCTCTGCTGTCCGCCGGGCGTATGCTGATCTTGACAACGTGCCGCCTGTCCTCGCTGCAGCCACCATCCGCGCTCTCTGGTCCGGGCCGGGCGCATCAGTTATCATCCGCAGTCTGACAAAGCTCAAGCCGCGCTCGCGTGGTCCGGAGGTGGTAGCGGTGGAGGCTCAGTTGGCGGCGGCGGCATCAGACAGAGTCCTCCCGGTTCTGGTCGTGGCCCAGGGCGATGCTGTCGAGGTGGCGGCGGCAGTGGCGGCGCTGGCGGCAGGTGAGACAGTCGCCTATCGGCTGGTCATCCATCTGCATGGCGGCGGGTTTGTGGCCATGTCGCCAGCCGATCATGCAGACTACCTCAAGACTTGGGCAAGGGCACCAGGCATGGAGCGCACGCTCTTTATCTCGCTGGACTACCCACTTGCGCCCGAGGCGCCATTCCCGCTTGCGCTCAACGACGCCTTTGCGCTGTATGCCATCGCCGCTTCCTGCTCGACGGCTCCGATATCTGTAGTCGGCGACTCAGCCGGAGGCAATCTTGCAGCAGCGCTCGGCCTGCTGGTGGCTGCTGCGCGTGGCCGCGCCCGCGGTGAGCCCGAGGCCGATGCTGCACTCATGCTGGAGCTGGGTCCGACCGCATCAGTCCTTCGCGACTACACGGCGTTCGCCGGCGAGCTGCCAGCCATCGACGCGCTTGTGCTCATCTATCCCTCGCTGGTCCGGGCACGGCAACGGGCCGGGCTCATGGGGGCGGCACTTGCTCTCGATCCGCTCTTGCCAGCTGAGCTCAACCCTCTCATCCACACAGCGTACGTGCCCACGACGTTGCGGGCGGTGTCTGCGACGCACCCGCTAATTTCACCACTGGCGGCGCCGGCGTGGCTACTGGCGTCGGCTGACATGGCCAGCCGAAAGTACGTGGTGTGCGGCGAGTGCGATCCGCTGCTCGACGACTCGGTAGCGTTTGTGGACACCGTGGCTGCCGGCGGCGGCAAAGTAGCCGCCTTTGAGCGGCTGGCGGGTACCCCGCACGGCTTCCTCAACATGGCGGTGAGCTCACGCGAGGCGCGGACCGCGATCAAGTCGGTCGGAGCGTGGTTGGCGCCCGAACCCGAGTCATGAGCCGAGCACCAGGCCGTGGACCTTGCCAAACTCCGAGAGTAGGCGGACGTGGCTCTCGTTGAGCATGGGCCAGAGCTCGGCAGCAAGGAGGCGCATGTTTGCGACATTGCTCTCGTCGAGAGCGCGGGCGAGCGAGTCGAGGAGGTCGGCTACGACCGGGTCGACGCACGCCGAGTCGGAGAGAATGACAACGGCCTCGATAAGGCCGGCAATCGACGCCGTGTCGCCAACCAGCAGCGAGAGGAGGACCCTTGCGATGTAGGCATCGACGAGAGTGAGCGAGTAAAAGTCAAGGGCCTCCACGCTCAGTGCGTTGCTGGAGGCCGCCGAGAAGAGCGACGGCGTCGACGCCGAACCGCGGACAAGCGCAGCCACCCGCGGTGCAGCTTCAGCCGCTGGCAACGCCGCGCCACCAGCGTTGAGCGCCGCACCCTTGAGCGGAGCATCAAGGACCGAGCTGGGCGCCAGGAGCAAAGCCACCAGGTTGTCGAGCTTGGCCGCCGCGAGCTCGTACTCGCCAGCGGCAACCAGTAGGTCGACCTGGACGTTCTCACACTCGATGACGGCAAAGCTGAGTGTTTCGCCAACCGGCAGCGAGCGCGAGACCATATCGGCAGCCTTGGCCAGTAGCCCGAGAGCCTCATCGTGCTCGCCAAGGGTGTGGACCTGAAACGCCATGTCGAGGAAGAGGGCGGCGGCCAGGGCGTGTTTGCGGGCCGAGACGTAGATGGAGATGGCGGCCGAGTACAGCTCAAAGGCATCCAAGGCCATCGAGTCCACCGATCCAACCCGTCGCCTCGCCGCATCCGTCACATGCCTCCACAGCTCGACGCCGCCCGTCACATACGCCGCCGCCTCCTGCGCCCCAGATCCCAGCGCTGCCTCACATTTTGCTAAAGCCTTGAGCACCATAGCCAGATATGGTGCCCCCGTTCGAGCCGCTCCTACACGTCGTGCTAGAACCTCCAGCCGTCCTGCTGCCTCTGAGATGGCGGCCGGCTTGACGTTTCGTCTGTGGCGGTGAGAGGTGAGGGGGGGGGGTGAGTGGGAAGGGGGGGGGGGGGGGGGGGGGGGGGGGGGGGTTAAGGGGAGAGGGGAGAGGGGAGGGGGAGGGCGTACTTCTTCAGCTCGCCCATGACGTCGTTGTACTCGGCCATGAGCTCGGTGTAGGATATGCCATGGGTGGCCATGGCTGCAAACGGTGTTGGGTGTGTGTCTCTGGCGGCAGGCGGCTGGCGAGTCAAGGGCAGCGGCGGGTCGGTGGCGGCCGAGTGGTGGTGGGGACGGCGGAGAGTGGTCCGATAAAGACATGATCGACTTTTGTACGGTCGTGGCCTTTTTGTTCAATCACGTTGATGTTGATCGGGGCTCGCCAACTACTACTCTTTCCCCTTCTCGCGGCCAAAGCGGCCAAGGAGCTTGCGACCAAGGCGGGCGGTGCGGGAGGAGGACTCGCTGGCAGCAGCCGAGGTGCCAGCAGGGTCGTCTTCGGACGGGAGGTCGTCGTCAGGAGCGTCGACATCGCCTGGCGGGCCGGTGTAGAGAGCCATGTACGCGTTGATCTGCGACTTTTTGAGGCCCTTGGCCTCAAAGATCTTGCGGAGCTGCGAGGCGTTACCGGACGGGACCGAGGCGGTGTACATGTCGACCATGGCCTCGGGCGGCGTCTTGAGCACCTTGAGAACGGCATCAAGCTTGTCGAGCTCCTTGTTGACGACACGGACAAATCCGCGCGGAATGGGCCGCGGCTCCGCGGCGAGGTTGGGAAGCTCGAGGAGAAGGGCGCGCAGCGTCTGCGAGTCGAGCAGCAGTTGGTCTGAGCCCTCGTCGGCGATGCGGCCGAGGAGGAGCACGGTGTCGCGGAAGGCCTGGACGAGAAGGACGACGAGCTTGTCGCAGTACCGCCGAAAGTAGACGTCTGGAAGAAGGTCGCGGAACTGCGGGACGTCGTCAGCCAGCGCGGCGCCGAGCGCAACAAGGTGCGGCGGGTTCTCGGTCATGCCGGTCCACGCTCCCCATCCAAGCTTAGTCATCGGCTCGAGCGCTTGCGAGCGGACAACAGTAAGCGTGCCGATGACGAGGACGAGGACGGCCTTGCCGATGAGAGCGGTGTACTCGCGGGTCTCGGCGCCAAAGTCGATGTGGTCCGAGAAGACCCGCGCAATCTTGCGGGCGAGCGTCTCCTGCAGCGCCTCGATCTGCTGCTGGACGTAGACGGCAGTGTGGATGATGTTGGTGATGTTGATGACCAGCGTGGGCGAGAGACGGACCTTGATGCCGTCGTACGATCTGGCTTCGCCGATGACCTTGCCCTTGGGCAGCTGCTCGACTAGGAGCTCGGTGTACCGCACAAGGTACTTGCGGAAGGTCTTGTACAGGTCAAACAGGGCCTGGCCCTTGGAAATTGACGAGCACCGCATGAGCGACTTGCGGAAGTAAAAGACGAGGTCGGTGGCCGAGGTCAAAATGTTCGAGTGCTCGTCCTCGGGGTACCACGCGTTCTGCGCCACAAACCGCTCCATCATCTCGGCAAGGTTCTTGTCCTCCACCGCGATGTAGTGGTTCATGTACGGCTCGAACGAGCGCGAGATGATGCCCTTGAACAGCGCGTTGTCTTCGTACGACACTGCCGGTGCACCCGACGAGCTGCTGCCACCTGCAGGCTCCTCGGCCTCGTGGCGCGACGCCCGGTACCGCTTGTACTTGAGCTTGAGCGCCTCAGACTCAGAGAGGCCGCCGACTTCGGGCTCCTCAACCGAGAGCATGGACGAGAGCGAACCGTCGCCGGTGACGGCGCGACCGGGCGCGGCCGCCACACGCTCGACCTTGAACTTGGCGGCGAGCTTCATCTCGACGTCGAGCGTCGACTGGACAACCCGCAAGAACTCGGGCACGTTGAGGTTGTCCTGCTGGCCCTCGAGAATCGAGCGGAGGTGCTCGCAGGTCATCTCGCAGAATCCGATGGCCACCTTTTCGGCCACCCGCCACGAGTCGGGGAAGACGCCGGCGTACGTGTCGTCAAACGAGCGCATGGCCTTGACTAGCCAGGTGAAGCGAGCGTCTGACGACTCGAGACTCCAGTTTGGCCCGCCCTCGCGACCAAACTCGGCCTCGTACGTCCCGACCATGGCGCCGACAAAGGCGTCGACGAGCGACGACACGACCGAGTCGCCGAGCGCAGCCACCACTGCCGTGCGTGCAGCATACGCAGGGCGGTTGCCCTCGTTGATCCGTGCGCCAAGATCCTCAAAGTCTGCCAGCATCTGGCCCTTGAGCTCGCCGCGAATAGCGGCAATGTTCTGCTGCATCTCACGGATCTTGGCAATGTGCCCGTAGCTCTCAAAGTCGGACGAGAGCGAGGTGACGGCTTTGAGCAACTGGGCGACCTCAGCAAAGTCGCCGCGCTCGCGAGCCCGCTCCAGCTGGTCGACGCCTTTGACCATCATCCGCAGACGATGTAAGAGCGAGATGGTCTTGGACAAGTTGCACTTGGCCGTGTCCAGAATCTTGATGTCGGCGCAGATGGATTGGACCATGGCCTCGGACTCTGCAGCCTTGGCCTTGATCTCAGCGATCTTGGTAAAGAGCTCGGAGATGGCCTTCTTGGCGGCACTCAGATGCTCCCGCGACTTGTCCCGGCCGTCGCCTGCTCCCGCACCGTCGAGTTGATCTGCGCCTCCAGCTCCCGCAGCCGAAACTGGACCCGCGACGTGACCTTAGGCAGGTATTGGAGCGAGGCCTCTGTGAGGAAGAAGGCGGGGGCTAGTGAGTAGACGGCAAGGAGGGGTAGTGGGGTCACACATGGAGAAGCTGGTTCGTACGGTCAGGGAAGACTGTGTTGATGTAGTCGACGACGCTGAGGTCCGGGGTGGCCAGGAGGTCCGAGGAGGCTCGGAGCATGCGACGGGCCTGCCGCCCGCCCTCGTCCGTGTCTTCTGTCCCGTGCTCTGGCCACCCGGGCACACTCAGTCGACTGCTTGGAGGCTCGGGACTGGCCATGGTGGAGGAGAGGGGAGCGGAGTGGTGTGTGTGTGTGTGTGTGTGTGTGTGCGAGTGTGTGTGTGCGAGTGGAGTGGGTCGCCAGGTGGAGGGGAGGTGGCCGGCCGGCGGCTGTGGTGGCCGACAGACACCGGAGGGTGGCTCGACAGCAGAGGCAGGTAGCTTTGCTTGATTTTGCAGCTTGTTACTGCCGGACCATGTGATGAGCAGAGTAGGGATGGGTGGGCGGTGGGCGGGTGGGTGTCGTCAGCTGCGGAGAGCAGCAAAGAAGGCGTCGTCGTCGTCGAGGATCGACGCTTCCACAAGCTGGTCGACCGATGGACGGCGCCGGAGATGGTCGGAGATCGACGAGCGGCGTTCGCGGTTGAACTGCCGGACCTCGTCCTCGGACTCGTGGCGGATGAGGCCTCGCTCTGACATCTCCTCCAACGACGGCCGCCGCTGGAGCTTGGCTTCGAGCTTGGTCACCGAGAGTGCGCGCATGAGCGGCGAGCCGGTGGCGGTTGTGCCGCGCGGTGATCCAGCCAGGCGCGGACGAGGCGACCGCGGAACGGGCTCGCCTGCGGCTACACGCGCTTCCAGCACGTCTGACGGAAGAATGGGCGCATCGGCCGGCGGTGACTGCATCACTGACGAGCCCATCAGGTCCGGCTTGGACGGGCGCCGGGCAAGGAGGTCCGCCAGCGAGTTGCGTCGCTCGCGGAGGCCCGAGTGGGTCGCCATCGGTGAGAGCGACGGGTTGATGTCACCCGACGCGTTGCGGATGAGGCCCTCGAGCATGGCCTCGGTCGCAGCCGACGCATGCTTGGACGACGAGATAGTCCGCTTGCGAGTCGCAGTGCTCGATGGCGGTGGCGGCGGCTCGAGCGGTGGCGGATGGGCAGCGGCTAGTGCCTCCTCGCGCTCCTTTTGGTGCTGCTCGGCGACCTTGCGCGCCTTGCGCGCCTGTTTCTCCATCTGGATCTTGCGCGCGAGCGCGCGAACGGTATCAGTCACAAACACATGCAGGCGCTTGGGATCCGGCAAGTACACTTCATGGACTACATCGTCCGAGCCCGAGACCTCCTGCCAGGCAAACGAGTGCCGAGCCGTGTCGGCCTGGTACGTCCGGATGGCGGTGAACGGATGGGTCGAGATGACCTTGTCATCATCGCTCGGGTCCAGAATTGCCAAGTCGTTGGGCGAGACCCGAATTGTGACTCTCCGTGGCTTCTTCCCCAGCCCGATACGTTGCTGTCGTCCACGCACCCGCCCGCCAGCATCCCTCGCTCCGGTGAGTCGCTCTGTCAGCCCTGCGGCACGCGCGCTCGCTCTCGGCAGTTTGATCTTCTGCCGGCAATGTTCGGCATGGAGGGCCTTGGGGGGGGGGGGGGGGGGCACTCCGGGCGGACCAAGCAAAGACAGAACACCTCGCAAGCAGTGGAGCATGCTTCAAGTATAACATATCTGTTGTGCGAGTACGGAGTGTACGGTTGTCGAAAAGGCCACTTCCGGTCCCTTGGGAGGTATGCGTTGCGGCCCACAGTAACCCACGGCAGGTGCCGTCAGCACGCACCCCCCCCCCCCCCTCTCACTCCCCTACCCACCCAGCCATCCATGCCACGTACCTGGACAGCAAACATGGTGTACTCATCCTGTGTCCACGTCGATGGACCTCTTCTCATCCGCATAGATGCGGGCGTATACAGTCGCCCCTCGGGATCTTCCGCAACCACAACGTGGTAGTCGGCCATGTGTGGGCGTGTGTCTCACGACAGAGGACTGTGAGGGGGAGGGGTGACTGATGGAGTGACGTTTACTCCGGCTGGCAGCGATTGGATGGTGACAGCGATTTGGTGGGATTGTGGGGGGGTGGCCGGACACTGGCACAACCAAATTGCTGAGGACATCACTCGCATGTGCGAGTTGCAACCATTGGGTGGCGAGAACCACCAAAGCCATTTCCAGCCATTTCCCATCAAAAGCGAACACATTTCCAATAACAGTGTTCGTCGCCTCGACAGACCGCACTCTCTGCACGACCAACCACACTCGCAGGACCACCCACGCTCGCAGGACCACGCAATGGCTGCATCTAACCCGCCTCCGGCGTCTCCGGGCATGTTTGTGGTCAGCCTGTACCAGGGCGACTCGCTCGCGTTCTCGCCTGCCACGCCGCCCGAGGTCATGGACCACATCGTGAAAGTCTTTGTCGATGCCGGGCGACTGCTGCAGCGCGATCTGTTCACCAAGAAGGCCGGGATGACCACCGCCCTCAGGACGGTCGCTAAGTTCAAGGGCTACATGAACGTGAACACCAAAGGCTTGGTCTGGACCCTGCTCATCGATACCATGACTGCCCTCGGCTACGCCTACCTCACTCTTGGCAACTACTCGGAGCTCATCTGCTGGCCACGCGGAGCGCTCGACCCTCCGCCGCCGGTCGGAGAGCTCTTTGTGCTCACCTTTGGCTCGGATGAGCTGTATCTCTCCGGCCGCGGGCCGATTGCACCAATCACCGCCCTCGCCGCCTCGTTTGTGGGGATCTCTGAGCTGTACAAGGCCCAGAAGGCGCCGCGCTTCCATCGGACGCTCGACAAGCACGGCATCGTGGCCAAGGCAGGCAAGGACGGCATGCCCGTCTATGAGCGCTGGCGGGTCAAGTTCAAGGGCTACCCCATGCAGTCTTTGACTGCTGCCGCGGACGTCTTTACTGCCGCCGCTGCTGTCGGCCTCATGATAGAGACTCCGCTCACGGAGCGGACCTTTCTCGTGCGCTACAACCCGGATGCAGCGAGGGAGATGCCCTACATGGCCATCTCGCTCACCGCAGATACCGTCAGATTCTCTGCCAGCACACCCGATGAGTTTCACCCGATCTTTGCCGGCATTATCGCCGAGTCGGCCGACATTGTCGGCTACACGCCCGAGTCGGTGGTCAACTTTGACCCGGGGCACGCCGCGCGTCTGGCTGAGACCCCGCCGCTGGCTGTCAAGCGCGAAGCTCACGCAAGCAGCAAGTGGGGCCGCGAGGACAAGCTCGTCTTCCGCGGCTATCCGCTCAGCTGGACCAACCACATGCTGATGTCGAGCCTCCCGCACATTTGGCAGCTGCTGCAGGAGCGCTGGTCACTTGGTGTCATTGTCGGCTCGCTTGTTGCCAACACCGCAACGCTGTTTGTGCCAGCGGTTCCGAGCGGGGTGGCGCAACCAGCGCCGCGCGCCTTCTCGGTCTGGACCACCCACGGCGACACGCTACACACCTCTGCGCTGGCCCCGGCCGCCGTCAAGACTTCCATGGCCGACTATTTTGAACGCATCGGCCTCCGCATCCAGCGCGGCTGGAAGCCGATCAAGGGCCGCTACGGTGCCCGGCGCATTCGCGAGCAACTCGCGTTTGCTCTCAAGCTCCGTGGGTACCCGCTGCTCGCCGAGATGCGCGCGTACATGCTCCTCCGCTCGCCGCTCTCAACGCTCGGCCAGGTCGTCGGCACCGTTCCGTACCAGCTGGTGGTCGGATCGGGCGACTCCCAACAGATCATCCCATCGATCCTGTTTTTGGTTCAGGAGCGGCCAGCGCCCCCGAGCTTCCGGCATACTCTGTCACTGACGCACCGCCTTCGTACGCCGACATTGCATGGGAGAACGACGAGAAGAAGAGCGAGACCGAAGACTGGGACTCGGAGGACTCGGGCTTTGACTAGCCCATGGCAACTTTAAAGGCATCACATGTGCCCATTCTACGATGAGGACGAGGACGAGCCCGAGCCCGAGCCATCATCGGTAGTGGTCTCGGTCGACATGGTGGCGTCGGTGGCAAAGGTGTACTCGGATGAGTGCGGGTCGTCGGCAGAGCCCGGATCCTGGACCGGGTAGTGGACGTACGACTCACGGGAGACCTTGCGGACAATGGGCATGGCACCGCCCGGTGCGCGGGCTGTGGTCCGCGCGGTCTGCTCGAGTGCTTCCTCCTCGTCGTCCGAAAACATGGCCAGGTCACGCATCTCCTGGTAGTCCCGAATGCGGAAGGCAAGGACGAGCAGGATGGCGACCGCAAAGAGTGGCGTCTTCATCGCCTCATGGGTGTCAATCTGGATGGACACAATGCCCGACGTTGTCCGCTGCAGGCCAAGGTTCTGCCGCGAGATGACGAGCCAGAGCGCAAAGATGAAAAAGTAGACCACAGCGCCGGCCGGCACATACAGATATGAGAACGAGATCTCACGAAGGACCCGCCGCCCGGACTTTCGCACCTTCTTCGAGTACGAGTATGCCGAGAGCAGCGCGTTGAAGATCGCAATCGGGAAGACGGCGTAGAAGATTAACGCCACAAGATGTGCCACAAAGTACATCCTGCCCACAAACTCCTGGTTCTTGGTCTCTTCGGCCGCGTAGAAGACCGCGACCGCCAGCAGGCCCGTCGAAACCACCGCTCGAACTGCGGCGATGATCCAGAGCGAGAACGACGGCTGGAGGATGAGCGTGTAGCAGAATGACGAGCGGCGAACAAGCGTCATCCGCGTGAACCGGTTATACTCGTAGAGCCACAGGAAAAGCATGTCGGTGACGAGCGCGAGCTGGAAGAGCAGAGTTAGAAAGTCAAAGAACACATTAGCCGAGTAGCTCCCCACAAAGGCCTCCAGATAGACGCCCCATCGGAGGACAAACATCAGCAGCATCAGAGCCAAGTCCACCAGCGCCAACAGATGCCAGCGAGTGAGAAAGGCGTGCTTGAAGACTCCAAACAGAATCGTGTACGCAATCAGTACCATCGCCGCCACCCACCACATTCCCAAGAACCCTCCCTGCTCCGCGACTGTCCTCACCACGCCACGTCCCACACGTCCCAGCCGACCGTATTCCCCGCCGTAGATACGCACACCGCCGCCGACCGCGCCGCCGCCGACCGCACCGCAGCCGGCCGCACCAGTAGACACACCCACCCACAGGCACAACCACACAAACAGATGGCATACATGTATGAGTACTCCTTCCTCCCTCCCCCCCCCCCCCCCCCCCTCCCCTCCCCCTTCCCCTCCCTCCCCCTTCCCCTTCCCCCCTCACTTCACGTACACGTCTCGGCCCGCCAGTGGTCAGTCTCCAGCGCACCCTGTGCCTGTGCAATGCACCCAGCCACTGCTGCTGCCACTGCTGCTACAAGCACGGTTGGCCGCATCCTCTGCTGTCTGCCTTAGTCTTGTTGGAGTCGTGTGGTCCATCCCCCCCCCCCCCCCCCCCTCTTGCCCTTCGTCCCTGTCCCTCCTCCGCTACCCAGTGACAGTCCGACGGCAGGTTAGCCATGCGGGCTCGGCCGCTGCCATCCAACCTATGCTCACCCACCCCAACCAACCACCCACCTCACACACACTGCTAGCCTAACGCTCACGGCTTGCTTACATTCCATGGTTTGCATGGGCATCGGAGCTCCCTCGCTCCGATCGAAATCGCCTCTATCTGTCTGATGATCCGATCCGGTTGATCCGGTCCGGGACAACACGATCGGCACGGCCTGGCCATGCCCGCCCCGTCGATTGCCTCTGTTCTCTACTATTGCACAACAGATGGCGTAAGGATGGCCGAGTCCGAACTCGATGGGTGCTGCTGACTCGTCAGGCGGCGGCTCTGCGCTGTATGCCCACGAACAGGCTTGGCATCTCTCTCGCCACTTTGCCTGCCGATGCTGAACGTGGTGGACGCGAGACGCCGGCGGTCCTCACATGTCCAGGTGCTTCGTGTCGCGGTTGGTGGAGGTGTGGTGGTCGCTGTGGCGCTGGTGGTGGCTGTCCTGGTGCTTGGCGGTGGGTCGGCAACGCGGGGCGGGACAGACGGCCCAGGAGCGCCGACAGGCACGGTCTTTGACGTCGACGGATACGTGGCGGGCGATCTGGTGCCAAACTCACCGCGCTTTCAGTGGATGCCGCTCGGAGGCCCGTTGGTTGCTACGGCTGTCGATCCAGACTCGGGCGCGCTGATCGCTTTTGGCTCGGCGAGCACCCGCCCGGTCGAACTCGTCCCGGCGAGCGCCATGGCCGACGTCGACGCGTATGCGGTCGCGCCGGACGGAACCAAGGTCCTACTTGCCCGCGATGCGCAGCGACTGTACCGCCACTCGACGAGTGCGGTGTATGCGGTGTATACTGTGGCATCAGGAACAGAGATGGCGGTCCTGGGCCAGACTCGGCTGCGCAAGGCTGTGTGGGCGCCTGACGGCGCATCCAGGCTCGCCGTCGTCGACGCTGCCGCCACCAATCTCGGCGTTGTCGATCTTGATCTGGGGGGCTTGGTCACCTGGTTGACTAGCGACGGCAAGCTCTCTGAGGTCCTCAATGGCGTACCAGACTGGGTCTACGAGGAAGAGGTGTACTCAGCCGACGTGACGCTCTGGTGGTCGCCCGACGGCACGTCTCTGGCATACCTGCGATTTGATGAAACGCAGGTGGCGTCGACCGGCTTTGACGTCTACCCCGGTGCTGGTCCGTATCCTGAGCGCTATCGCTACAAGTATCCGGTGCCAGGTGGGACCAACTCGAACGTCACCCTCTGGGTTCGCAACCTCACCGAGCCTAGTCCTGTCCTAGTGGACACACTTGTGGCCGGCCGTGGGACTGCTGACCAGTATGTGGTCCAGGTGGCGTGGGCATCATCGTCAGTACTCACCGTGCGCGTGCTCGATCGCGCACAGCAGCACGGGTTCCTGGTCGCGGCAACGCGGGCTGGTCCCGGGGCATGGACCAGCTCGGTTGTCAACGAGCTTGCGTCCGACACTTGGCTGGAACTCACCGAGCCTGTCTTCTTCCCATCAAGCTCTGAACTTGGCGCAACGCAGACGTACCTCGATCTACAGCCGCATGGTAACGAGCTTGCGGTAGGCGTGTTTAGGCTCGACGGCAGCACCTCGACCGCGCCAGTGGCTTGGCTCGACGCAGGCGCGCCAGTAACCCGGATTGTGGGTGTGAGCCGGGACGGGGACTCGGTCTACGTCGAGACGGCGCCGACGCCTCGGACCCGCGCTCTGGTTGCCATCCGCGGCCTCGGTCTCGATCCGACTCGCGAGGCGACGGCCGAGCGCCTGAGCCCTGCCGACGCCTGGGCGTCGGTCTCGCTCTCGCCAACTCGCGAGCACTATCTGGTTGTAATCTTCGGTCCGAGTGTACCAGTCTACACGGTCCATGCCACTGCTGACGACACGCCACTGGTGGTGTTGGAGGACAATGCGGCGCTTGCAACCAAGCTCACCGGATACGCGCTGGCAAGTCGCGAGTTTATCGAGGTGCCGGGCGCGTACGGTGGCATCCACAACCTCGGGTACATCCTCAAGCCGCCGAGCTTTGACCCGAGTCGGAAGTATCCGGTGCTCATGCACCAGTACTCGGGCCCGGGCTCGCAGCAGGTAACAGCCCGGTACAGCGCGAGCTGGCAGCTCGCGCTGGCGTCGTCGGAGGAGATCATCGTGGTCTGCGTTGACGGCGCCGGCACCGGCGGGCGTGGCCTCACTTTCGAGCATCAGACCTACCTCCGGCTGGGCGAGCGGGAGCTGGCCGACCAGCTTGCTGCTGCAGCGTTTGTTGCACAGCTTCCCTACGTCGATGAGGACCACATGGCGCTGTTTGGATGGTCGTTTGGTGGCTTTGTGGCCGCATCGGCGTTTGCATCGCCAGCGGGGCGCGATGCCTTTGCCGCCATCATCTCGGTTGCCCCCGTAACCGACTGGCGCTGGTATGACTCTATCTACACCGAGCGGTACATGGGCACGCCCGCATCCAACGGCGACGGCTACATCGCAACATCGGTTGTGGCCACGGTTGCAAAGGAGCCGCCGCCGGCCTCTCCCTCCACCGCCTTTCTGCTCATGGCCGGCCTCGCAGACGACAACGTCCGCTACACGCACACTGCCCAGCTGGACATGGCGCTTGTTCAAGCTGGTGTTGCCTTTGATGGCTTTGCCTTCCCGAACCAGAACCACGGCATCAACGCCGACGGCGCGCACGCCCACATCTACCGCAAGATGACAGCCTTTCTTCGCCACCACCTCGCTCCTCAAGCCTGATACAATTCTGTCCAACGAGAAACACTCCTCCCTGCCCGGCCTGTCTGCCTTACCCTGACCATGCGATTGTCAGAAGCTTTGAACATGCCATCCATGGGCCGATCTCCAACTACTATCACACCTAACCGGTTGACAGCTGTTGGAGGGTGAACGGCGGTGACAGCAGCGGCAGCGGCTGTGGCCACCACCACCACCGCCACCACCACCACCACCACTTGACCTAAGCCGTCATGGCAGGCCACACACCGACACTCCCGGCGCCATTCAGCAATGCAGTGTCACCGCTACTGAACGACCTGTACCAGGTGACCATGGCGGTATGAATGCGAGGAGGGAGTAGGGGCGGGGGGGGGGGGGGGGGAGGGTCACTGTGGGCTGGGCTGGAAATGGAAGGTTGGTTCTGGTGCTGGGCACTCACGGGAATGTGGGGAATGAGACAGTACGCATACTTCAAGGGTGGGCGGCATGAGGAGCATGCGGTGTTTGATCTGTTCTTTCGCAAGCATCCGTTCAAGGGCGAGTTCACCATCTTTGCCGGGCTGGAAGAGTGCCTGCGGCTGGTGGACCACTTTGGCTTTACGGCTGATGACATCGAGTACATTCGTGAGACGCTGCCGGGCGTGTCGGAGCCGTTCTTGGAGTGGTTGGCTGGCCTGTCTACTGCAGGTGTGACAGTCAAGGCTATTGCCGAGGGATCAGTCGTCTTTCCGCGCCTCCCGCTGCTGCGGATCTCGGGCCCGCTCGGCGTGTGCCAGCTGCTAGAGACAACGCTGCTCAACCTGGTCAACTACGCGTCGCTGATGGCGACAAACGCGGCTCGGTTTGTGCAGGCCGCAGGTCCGGATGCGCGGCTGCTCGAGTTTGGCCTTCGCCGCGCACAGGGCCCGGACGGTGGCATGTCGGCCTCCAAGTACTCGTACATGGGCGGCTTTCACGGCACGTCCAACGTGGCGGCCGGCAAGGCGTTCGGCATCCCGATCCGTGGCACCCACGCGCACTCATTTGTCTGTTCGTTTGTCTCGCTCGATGACGTCCCGGATCCAACGGTGACGTCGGCGGATGGCAGCCGCAGCGTCAATCTCGCAACCGAGGCAGCCGGCTGTCTGACCGAGCTTGGATTCGATGCGGAGACGACAAACGCCGGCGAGTTTGCAGCCTTTGTGGCCTACGCCGTTGCCTTTCCGGACACCTTCCTCGCACTGGTCGACACGTACTCGACGCTCGATTCGGGCGTGCCCAACTTTATGGCTGTGGCGCTCGCGCTGGCGCGACTTGGATACCAGCCGCGCGGCATCCGACTCGACTCGGGCGATCTGGCAGCGCTCTCGATTGCTGCCCGCAACATGTTTGCCGCGGCGGCGTCGCAGCTGGCGAGTGATCCCGCGGCGGCGCTCGCTTTCCGCAACCTCAACATTGTGGCCTCGGATTCGATCAACGAGGCTTTTCTCCACACCATTGCCGAGTCGGGGCACTCGATCGACACCTTTGGCATCGGCACCAACCTGGTGACCTGTCAGGCCCAGCCTGCGCTCGGCTGCGTGTTCAAGCTTGTGCAGATCGGCGACGCGCCGCGCATCAAGCTCTCACAGAACATCGCCAAGGTGACGGTGCCCGGCGCCAAGCTCGCCTACCGGTTGCATGGCCACGACGAGTTCCCCATCCTCGACGTCATGGTACTCGAGTCTGAGGAGCCGCCACGCGCCGGCGAGCCGTTCCTCTGCCGTCACCCTCTCAACGAGGGCGAGCGGGTCCGGGTCAAGCCGCGCTCGGTCGAGCCGCTCCTCACCACCCTCTACTCGGACTCGAGTGTGGTGGGCGAACTCCCGAGCTTGGAGAGCGTGCGGAGCCATTGTCTGGTGCAGCAGGGCGTGTTCAAGCCGCAGACCCAGGTCAAGCACCCATCGCCGTACCGGGTCTACCTCTCAGATGCGCTGTACACACTGCTGCATGACTTGTGGCTCCGCGAGACGGCAGTGCCCGAGCTCTCGTGAGCCGCGGCCGTATCTGTAGCTTTCTTACTCAAAAGCAGCAAAGAGAGGGTCATCAGTCAGCGCGTAGTCGGTGAGGAGCCAGGCGTCCGAGCCCGGCTGCAGCTTGGGCGACGAAAGCCCCGCCGAGACCGACGCCGCAGACGACGATTGCGCCGAGTCGCTCTCTGATGAGCCATAGCCGGACTCGGCGTCCGAGTAGCTCGACTCGAGTGCGTAGCGCTCGGCCCGCTCGGTGCAGTCCTCATCGGCATCGCGGCTGTCGCACACGTCGGCATGTGAAACAGCATCGTCCTCAAACTCGATCGAGTGATGCGATTCGAACGAAGCCCAGGTCGGCAACGGTGTCTGACGCGGCGAGCTGTTCTCGACTTGCCGTTGGACCGCGGGAGTCCTCGCCAGCTCGCGCCGGGTGGCAAACGCCTCGGGGCTGTGGAACTGCAGTGCTGCCTGCGGCGGGGTGCCGAGCAGCCCAGCGACGGCGTCCGACATCTGCCTCAGCGCGCCTTCACTGCCACCAACAACAGCGTCGGCAAGCATGCTGGCAAGCGCATCAAAGTCATGGTGCTCGTCGCTGGCTTCAGACTCTGCGTCCGAGGCCGACGCTGACGCCGACACCGTCGACGACGACGATGACGGAAACGCCAGATGCGAGGCAACGCGCTGGACCGCCAGATTGCGCATCTGCTCGCGGACCTTTTCCCGCGCACGGATTCCGAGCGGTGAGAGAAGAGCGTCGGCGGCAGCGCCCGGGGTGGGCGGTGGGCGAGGTGCGCCCAGGTTGTATCGGCGGGTCGCCGCGGGCGTCGGCGGAATGAGCACGGCCGGGCGCTTGCCGGGGGTGGCCGGAACCGGCGCCCCATGCGCCGAGCGGACCATCCGGCGGGCATCGTCAAGGGCGGCGTCGAGGCGTGCAATCGATGCTTCGATACTTGGGAGTAGCGATGCCACCAGTTTGGTGGCACGAGCTGTGGCAACGGCGTCGAGCGAGGCGTGCTGCTCGGAAAGAGCCGCGGCGGCCGATGCAGCGGCCGTAAGGTCCGGTACGCCCGGCCAGGCATCCAATGTGCCGGCATCCTCGCTGTCAGGTGAAGGACGAACAAGGAAGAGTCGCATCCGCTTGAGCGCCAGGCCCCACAGCGAGACAAGGGCGTCGAGCTGGAGCGGTCCGCTGCCGGTGCCGGGCACCTCGAGACCCAGCGCCGAGAGCTCGGCAGTCATGCTCTCGGCGAGCTCAGTCGGGAGCGAGACCGCCAGCTCTGTCTTTGAGAGCACGGACGAGTTTGCAGAACCGTCCAAGACCGACGAGATGGCGGCGTGTAGGTGTGCCGTGCGGTTCGCAAAGGTCTGCAGCTCGTCGACGGCAGCTTGCACATCCTTGGCCTCACGCTTAAGTGCCTCAGCGCGGGCCACCAGCTTTGCCGAGAGGCCGTCGCGGGTAATGGCGCCTTGGTCCATGGCCTCCGGCGTGGCATCCGCCTCGTCCGAGACTGCGATGCCAAGCCGCTCGGCGTCGGCAGCTGCTGCGTCGGCGTCAGCGCGGGCGACTTTGACACAAGCAGTCAGCTCTGCAACTGCCGAACGCCACGCGGCGAGGTCCGCAACACCCGCAGCAGCGGTGGACTGAACGTCCGCCCGCAGGGCGCGGATGCGGATGCGGAGGGCGTGCGAGACGCGGGCAACGTTTGCCGCCGGAGCAAGGCCGGCGTCTGTGCCAGCCTCGAGCGAGGGTGGGGTCGGGAGCGGGTACGAAGGATGATCGCGAGCGAGGACAACGCGGATGGCATGATCGGTCAGGTGCCAGAGCAGAGCAGCCATGCGTGGGCCCGAGGCAGCCTGTAGGGTCGAGATGCGGATGGTGTTGGGCGGCAGGTGGCCGGCAGCCTGCAGCCGCTCGATCATGGCGTATGCCTTGCGCTTAAACTCGCGAGCCTGGTCCCTGTCACGGACGGGCCAGGTGCCGGCAAAAGTCTTCGCCGCCGCCTGCGGATCGATGGTCGAGAGCAGAAAGTGGATCATGTACTCCATGCCCTTGGTGTTGGCCTGGTCGAACATGCGCGGCGAGATCGACAGCCCCGTCGCCGTTCGCAGCGCAGCCACGTCCAGGCCCAGCAGGCACACACCCCGGAACCAGGCGTCGTCCATGGGGGAGGGGGGGGGGGGGGGGGGAGAGAGAAGGAGGAGGAGGAGGGGGGAGAGGAGGAGAAGGAGGGGACGAGAGTGGGGTGGGAGGGGAGGGGGTGGGAAGCCGCTGCGACTGATTGGTGTGTCCGGCTGGCTGGCTGGTTGGCTGGTTGGCTGGCTGGCTGGCTGGCTGGCTGGCTGGCTGGCTGGCTGGCTGACTGACTGATTGATTGACGATTCGGCAGCGGCTGTGGCCGAGACTGCGGTTGCGGCTGCAGCTGGCAGACACGCTCTCTTGCCACCAGCCGGCGGTCGGACCCCCGGACTGCTGGACTATCGGACACGGGGGGGAGGGGTACGACTTGACTTGCCACCGGGTTGTGGCAGAGTTCGGGCGGGTGGAATGGCTTCTGATGAGACGGTGGTGGCCCTGGCTGTTCTCGTCGTGGTGGCCGTTGTCACGCTTGTGGCTCTTGTGTGGTATCTGTGGCGGTTGAAGTCGAGCCAGGAGAAGATGCAGCCAGCGGTAGGTGCAGGGAAGGAGATGCGGGGCAAGGGAGGGCAGAGGGGAAGAGGAGAGGGAGGAGACGTTGCGGGAGAGAATGAATGGGGAAGGTGGATGGCGGTATCGATTCATGCGGAGAGCGGCCTGGCGTGAACGGACGGACAGTTTACCCCGCAACGGCCCTTGGTCTCGTCGTCCGACGAGGAGACCGGTCTCGAGTCGAGCAGCGATCATGGGCCCAACTCGGGCGTGTTTCTTTGGGATATGTCATCGCACACGGTGGATGATGGCAATCCCGATGACGATCCCGAGGCCTCGATGAGCTTCCTGTTCAAGCCGCTGGCCCAGCCGTCGAGCTCCTCGTCGTCCGACGGCGCCGACAGCAAGAGTAGCAAGAGCAGCACGAGCAAGAGCAAGAGCAAGAGCAGGGGCAAGAGCAGGGGCAAGAGCAAGAGCAAGAGCAAGAACAAGAACAAGAACAAGAGCAAGAACAAGAACAAGAGCAAGAACTAGCGGATTCATGACTCGGCGCGAGATGAGGAGAAAGGCTACATGAGCGACGTCGGCAGCGGCTGCAGAACCTCGAGGCACGACTCGATGGGCGAGGCGCAAACACTGCAGAGCACACCCTTTGCCGGTGGCATGCCCGGCGCTTGTGGAAGCTGCTCGTGCAGCTGCAGCGCCGTCGAGAGGCAACCGTAGCATGTCGACATGTGGGTGCACGGCAGCGCGACCGCAGATCGCGGCGCGCGCCCGCAGACAGAGCACAAATACGCCTTACGGTACCATGCGAGCTCGGTCCGCAGTGCCACGTTGGCCCGCTCCAGCTCGTTGACGTAAACCTCCTTGGACGCGGCAAGCTCGATGCGAGCCTGAAGCTCGGTCCGCAGCTTTTGAGCCTCGGCAGCAAAAGCCTGCGCATCGTCGCCGGTGGCCGTGCGAGTAGACTTGGCCTTGGCTGCTGCCGCCTGCGCCTGAGCTGCCTCTTGGGCCTCGGCTGCCGCTCGTGCATCGGCTGCCGCTTGCGCCTCGGCTGCCGCTTGCGCCTCGGCTGCCGCTTGCGCCTCGGCTGCTGCTTGCACCTCGGCTGCTGCTTGCGCCTCTGCAACGACCTTTGCGGCGGCGGCGGCCTTGCGAGCAGCGGCGGCGGCGGCGGCGAACTCGGCCTCGATCTCAGCCTTCATCTTGGCCTCCGCGGCGGCCTGAGCCTCCGCGGCGGCCTTGGCGGCGGCGGCCTTAGCCTCCGCGGCGGCCTTAGCCTTGGCCTTGGCGGCATCGCTGGTCCTGCCCTTGCGCTTCTTGCCCTTGTTTCGCTTGCCTTTGCCGTTGTTCTTCTTGGCCCGGTCCTCGTGGCCTGCAGCTTCAGCAGCCAACAGATCCTCAAGTAGCTTGGCCCTCCGGGCCTCGGCTGCGGCCTCGTCCTCGGGCGAGAGCTTGGACGCCATTGCGTTGACGACCGGCGGCACAACGTTGAGCTGGGCTGTGATGGTATCACCCGAGAGAAAGTTGATCGAGACAGCGGTGTCGGCCGCACGGATGCGTGACGAGCGGTAGACAAACCGGATGCTCGAGGAGCGGACGTCGAGGTCGTTGGCCACGAGGCTGAAGAGCCGCGCCATCGGCGCCGTCGCCCCGGGAAGTGAGTACGGCCGCGGTTGGAGGTACATGTTGACAGCCTCTTCCATCCGCTTTTTGTGGCTGCCCGAAGCCGACGAGAGCGCCTTGAGGTTGAATCGGATGTTGACGCGGACAACGCCCGGGTCACCCCGCATCCGATCGCGGTAGAGGTCGCCGGTCGCAAAGTTGGGGTGCGCGAGCTCAAGCTCCTCCTTGTACGTCTCGAACGGGTAAACGTCCTCAGACGGGAGGCGGGCCTGGTCCCGCGACGCCGACGATGCCGGCTCCTGAGTGCAGTACGTCACTGGCCGGTGAAAGACAATCGAAGGCACGTTGAAGCCGCGCCCGCGCCACTTTGCCACCTGGGCGTCGATGAGCTCCTCGCACGCGGTCGGCGCGCCAAGAATAGTCTCTGTTCCCGGTGAGACCGGTGAGAGCGCGGTGAGCACAATCGATGCGCCCTGGGTAGCCAGCGTCTCGTCAACCTGCAAGCCCAGATCCTCCAGCACCATGCGGTTGACCACCAGCGGCGTGGCACACGAGACCGCGACCGCAGGAGGAGCGCTCGCCGCCTGTGACTGCCCACGAATGTCGGGCGCCTGCGCACACTCAAAGGCCACGCCGTCGAGCGCAGCCACCGTGTCCCAGTCAAGCTGCCGCCAGCCGTAGCACTTGTCGCACTCGTACCATGGATGCGCCCGCTCAACGTCGGCAATGATGCACCCGGAGTGGACCTGGATGATGCATCCTTCGGCGAGCTCGCCCGAGGTCACCAGGTCATTGAGCTGCTCATCGAGGAGGACGCAAGTCGACTCGTCGCCGTTGGAGATGGCCAGCAGGTAGAGCGGCTCATCAGCGTTGCCGCGGGTAAAGGTCGACGGGTCAATGCCAGCCTCCGCGAGGAGCGCAGGAACCGTGGCCCCAAGCTCGGCAACCGCTCGGACGGCCGCATCGGCTGGGCTTTCCAGCTCGGGTGCCGTTGCTGGATCCTCCGCCACCAGCGCGACCAGCGCCGACGGGCTGGAGGTGGCCAGCGAGAGAAAGCTCTGCTCGCGAGTGATCGGCGCAACTTCGGCCAGCTCGGCCGAGTGCAGGTCGATGATCTGCAGGACTTGCAGGAAAAGCGGCCCAGCGCCCGGCTCCACGGCCAAAGGCATCCACGAGAGCCACGACGTCGCCGCCGCGGTCAGCCGGTCGATGGCCACCTCTGACGGAAAGAACTCTTCAAACGGATCGCTGGACGGACAGGCTGAGGCCAGCGCTGCCGGATCGCAGCCTGCATACACCCGCCCGTGCTCAATGCCGTGGGCTTGGGCGTAGTGGACAACCTGATGGCAAACGCCGCGGGCAACCGCTAGCAGATGCGGCACGTAATCGCGCCCGGCGCTAGGGTGGCACTCGCGCTCAAGCACTTTGTGCCACGCTACAATCTGCGCAAGCACTGCCGCTTGGTGCGCCCCAGCCGGGCGTAAAACGGGCAAACTCTCGCCATCAGGCGCGTCCGAGCTCCCCGCGCAGGCCGCAAGCCGCGAGCAGGTCTCGGCCGGAACATGGAGCAGGGCCTCAGCAAAGGCCTTGGCTGATTCATTGCTAGCTTCCAACAGCGGGGCCGAGAGCTCCATCAATCGTGCCGGCAGAATCAATGCTTTCTCCAGCTGCGCCAGCACAGCAGCGACAAGCAGGTCATGGACCTCGCCCGTCACAGCGCCGGCCACTAGCCTCCGCAGGCCATCCATCCCAGACGGTCGAGGCAAGGAGGAGGGCGGACAGAGGTAGAGGAGTACAGCCGTAGGGGGGGGGGGGGGGTGCGTGAGGGGGAAGAGAGTATGTGGGGATCGGGGAACAGGGAGAAGTGGTGGTGGAGTGTGGCCACCCGGAGTCGTCGTCGGGAGGTGACGGGCCAAGGGAGGGGGAGTCGCCAGTCCGGGGGCCAGAGGATCGTGCCATTCGCCGAGGGGTGAAGCCAAAGTTGGCGCGAATGACTGTCAATGGAATTTTGGCGCGCATTTTAGCCAAAGCGCGCTGAAGCAGCGCGGGCTGGCATGGCGCGGAGGAAGGCAGGCCGCAATAGCCCTGGCGTGTGTGTGTTGGGGCAGGGGGCTACACTTGTCGTGATACAGCGACCAAGTTACAAGTCTTGTGGATACCTACGCAGGACTGGACGTGGTGGCAGGTGCGACGAGCTGGACAATGAGTATGGAGAGCGAATGGACCATGCTGGCCGCGGGCGTCGATGGCGCCAACGTGGAGCTGACCGAGACGCTGACGCCGACGCCGTCGTTTCTGGTCGAGCACGTGGCGACTCTGACGTGTGATGGTAAGCATGGCGCTGGAGCGGCGCATGTGGCCGCTGGTGGCGGATACGTAGCGGCGGCGGTCGATGCCACCGTCTTGGTCGTCGACGGCGACGGCGAGGCGGCGACGGTGGCGCTCGACGCCGCGGTCGCCGGCCTGGCGGTCGCCGGCAGCGCGACGAGCGACGCCGGCCTGCTTGCGGTGATCACTGTCGACGGCACGGTTGTCTTTCTCTCGCTGCCAGCGCTCGAGCTCCTCGCCGAGCACCCGGGCGCGGTGGCTGCCAGCAGCGACGGCGCGCCGGTCGAGGTGCCGGCCATCGCGTGGCTGGCCGACGGTGCACGGTGGCACTTGGCGGCAGTGACGTCGCACGGGCCGGGTGTGGTTCTCTCAAACGTCTCGATCGAAAACTTTGACCTTTCTGCACTTCGGCTGCAAGCGTTTGATGCGAGCACCCGCCTCCACCAAGTTGCCGGTGCCGCCTTTGTGCCATCGGTTGTTGAGTTTTCACCCTACACGCTGGCGGTGGCCGGCATGCCGCTCGATGGCGGCTGCGGCGACTCGATTGTGCTGTGGGCCATTGGTGGGCCCGAGGAGAAGCTGGTGGCGGTCGATGGGCTGAGCCTGCCCGGCGGGCGTATCCCTAGGTCGATGGCGGCGTCTACCTGCGGCCGGGTGGTGGCGATCGAGGACGAGGCCGGTGCGGTCCACTACGTTGACGCCGAGATGCTTGTTGCTGTTGCACTCCCACAAGAAGTGAGCGGCGGCGTGAGCGGGGCGGGTGTGGCGGCGCTGGCCTTTGCGCCAGTCCCGGCGTTTCTCTCGGCCTCGACCGAGTCGGTCTGCGTCATGTCACCGGCGTCGCTTGCTGACGTCGACGGCGGCGACGAGAACCTGACCTTTGACGTGGCGCTCACGGCTGGACTCATCCCACTCAGCACAGCCACAGCTCGCGACGCAGTGTACGTGGCGGCATGCTCTGCTGACCGGCTTGTGGTGAGCATTCACGCTGTTCGCGAGGGTGTCCCGCGCTTCCGCCTCAACACGCTCCTCCTCGCTAGTGCATACGCCGAGGCTGAGGCCTTTGCGGCCGAGCACGGACTTGACGGTGACCTTGTGCGCCAAGCGCAAATCGAGGCCGCGTGCGTGCAGGTCAAGGCCGCGCTGGCTGCGGCCGGAGGCGACGAGGCTGCACGGCAAGTGGCTAGCGAGGCATTTGTGGCTGCTGTTGCCCCGCTGCTTCAAGCTGCGGCGAATGTGAGCCACGCCGTGAGCTTTTGCGTCCACGGCGCGTTCGACTCTGCCGACGCAACTCTTGCACTCCTCAACATTGGGTACGAGTTGGCCAAGTCTGCCGACGATGAGAGCCTCATCACGCTCGTGACGGACGCGCTCGCACGGCTTGCCTCGTTTGAGATCATTGCCTCGAGCGAGGCTGGAAGCAGCTCTGGCTGGTTTTCCGGCAAGCAGTGGCAGCGGTTCCGAAGCGCACCTGCGCTTGGAATTGTGCGGATGCTTGTGGCCGAGTCCAAGATGGCTGCGGCCATCCTGGTGTGGTCGCGGCACTACGCGCACGCAACGACGTCGAGCGACGTCCTCACGCTCATCAACCAGATTCCCGAAGACGTGGGCGTTGACGAGTACCTCGAGTGGCTGCAGGCGCACCTCTTTGTGCGGATCTCGCCGAGCGATCGTCCTGCGCTTGAGGCGTGGGTTGAGCAGCGCGCACGGTCTGTGGAGCTCCGCGAGGAGCGGCCGCACGGCGCGCTCAAGCTGGCGTCGTCGCTGGCGTCGTTCATCAAGGCTGCTGCCGCCAACGAGTCGACAGCGTTTGGCTGGACGCCGGGATCTCAGGTTGCCGGCTTTATGTCGCAGCTGTACAACGTCCGGCAGGCGGCGTCCACCGGGCTCACCCGCCTGGTGGCGCAGTTGGCCGACATGGTGCGGCTGTTTGACGAGCACGACCTCGGCATTTCGCTCCGCGACTATGCGGCCGAGACCCCGAGCTCGATTGCGGTGCTCATGATCGAGCGGGTAGTGCCAGACGCGCTGCCTGCCGAGCTCGCTACCCATGTTCGGCCGTACCTTCTCGCACACGGGCTCGACGCTGACCAGGAGCTCGTCAACTACCTGGTGGCTTGGCTCGACGCGGCGGCACTGGCCGGCAACGCAGCTCTGGCGACTGAGGATGCCGAGCTCCGGGCACTGGCTCTCCTCAACGGCGTTGTCTCGACTTCAGCCAAGATGCAGGCAACGCTTGAGTTCTTCCGCCGCATTCCCATTCCGTGGTCGGCAGACATTGAGGCGCTGATGTCGAGCACGGCGTCGTGGGAAGGTGACGGAGCGGCCGAGCTGGCGGAGCAGGTTCGGCTCCTGCGGCTCAAGGCCATGTTCCTCCGCTACGGCCTCCGCGAGGTCAATCTCTCGGACGCGGCCAAGGCCAAAGACTACCTCTTCCACATTCTGACTCGGCTCGAGTGCGAGACGGCGATGGCCGATGGTCTTTTGGTTGTCGAGGCGTACTCGTCGCTCAAGGCACACGACGCGTACATCTTCCATTTGCAGGCGCTGCTGGCGTCAGGCAAAGTGGTGCACCTGGCGCGGGCTGGCGAGCTCTTTGCCTCGCTTCCGCTGGCGTTGCAGCTTTCTGTCGGGCAGGAGCTCGTGCTGTGGATTCAGGCGCGGTATGAAGCGCTGCGAATCGGTGGTGAGGCTCCTGGCAGCCTGCTCAAGCTCGTGGCTGCGCTCCGTGCGCTGCTCGAGGTCTGCGTTGCAGCTGAGGCCAAGGTCCGTGCGGCCGCGCTTACGGCGCCGAGTGCCAGCGAGAGTGCAGCGGCAGTGCCGGCGCGGCGGACGCGGACTCGGCGGGTGCGTGGCGCGGGCCTTCTCCGCCGCAACGCAAGCAACGCCAGCAACGACAAGAGCGGAAGCAGCTCGACGGTGGCGCAGCCGTTTGTCTACCTCGATGTGGTAACCGAACTCTCCGGTGCGGTGGCGCAGGAGGCGCTTCTCGCCGAGTTTGGAGTGGCGCTTCCGCTGGCGACGCTTAACGACAGCGACGCTGCGCGCGAGGCGCTGGCGATGTACGTGGCGTCAATGCGCCAGAGCAGTGCCGACGGTGGTGATGCCTCTAAGAAGGGCGCCACGTCAATCAACAAGACTCGGCTGTACCGGATGGTAGAGCTGCTGGGCCTCGCGCGATCAGACCTAGAGGGCGTGCTCGCGCACGAGGCCGCGGTGTTGGGCGATCCGGTCCGAGCCACCGCGCTGTGCAAGGAACTTCTCCTTCGCAACCGCGGAGCGCGTGCAGCAGAGACGCTCACTAGCGTGGCAGACACGCTGCTCCACCACACGGTAGGGAGCAAAGTGGTGGCGTCGGCGCCATCGCGGGCTCGGAACCTTGTGCAGACCTCTCTCTCAGTTTGCGCCGACGATGACGTACTCGCGCTGCTAGACAAGTTCCGCGCGGCCGAGCAAGTAGCCGAGGTGGTGGATCAGGCGCGGTCTGTCGAGGCGTGCGCACCCGAAGAAGAGGTGACGAACCTTGTCCGTGGCGCGTATCCGTCCCACTACCACGAGGGCGGGCTCGAGCTCGAGCTGGAGCGGGTGCTCCCCTTGCGCTGGCGGCGGCCGGAGTGGCCAACGAAACTTTCGCGAACGCGGTAGTCGATGACGTGCCGACAGCGGGTAGCAAGCGGTCGAGCAAGGGCAAGGGCAAGGAGGATGACGAGCACGATGAGAACGAGGCCGGCGCAGAGGCTGGTGCTGTTGCAGGCGAGCGTCTCACTCCAGGAGGAGCCAAAAAGCAGCTTGCAACGATGCTCAAGCAGAACGGGTGGGTCCAGTCTGCGCTCAAGGTCCAGCTGGAGCTCGCGCGGACGCGGAGCGGCTCGCCTGGTGAAAGTGAGATTGTGGGCCTCCACTCGGCGCTGCTCGACAAGGTGCTCGGCTCGCGGCGGCTGGATCGTGAGCTTGCTGTGAGCTACATGTGCGCGCTCCCGTATCAGACGGGCCACACGACGTTCCAGATGGCGGCATCGCGCGTGAACGCGGATTACGGGCGTCTAGGCGTGCTGGCATCGATCGGGCAGGACGTGGCGTACTTGTGGAAGCAGCACGCGTTTGAAGGGAGCTGCGAGAAGCTTCGGGCGAACGCGCGGTGGTGGGCGCAGCTTGCACTGCTGGACATTCCGTTTGACGCCAAGTCGTTCAACTGCGGTCCGTCTGCGCGGTACCAGGCCTCGCTCGTTCCACAGCTCCTCCGTAAGACTGGGCACGACATCGAGACAGTGCTCGAGTTTACCGAGACGTACGCCATTTCGGACCAGGCTGCACTGGAGCACTACATCACGGTGCTGCTTGTGGGCGACGACTCGGCGTCGTCGTCATCGGGAGGGAGCGGAGACGGAGGTAAGGTCGGCCCGTACTCGCTACTTTACCAAGAGCAAGTGGCCCGTGTGGTGGGCGAGATGCAGCCGGATGGGTTGCTGGAGACGCTCAACTCGCGCGTTCTTCCGTTTGTCTCCGAGTACGACTACGACCGCATTAGGTTTGTGTACGAGCTCATCGACAAGCTTGTGGGCTCGGAGGAGGAGGCACGGGCGATGGTCGAGGTTGTGAAGGGCCTGCAGCGGTACGCCAAGGTGCCGACCGACGAAGTGCTCGTGGCACCGCTGAAAGAGCGGGTGGCGGCCGGCGAAGCGCGCGCGCTGGGCAGCCTCCGGGTCGTCCCGCAGTCGGTGCTGGAGGAGTGGGAGCTGACGCGGCTGCCGTTCTTTACGCTCATTGAGAACCCGCTGCTTGTGCTTAAGCCGCAGCTCAATCCTGCGACTGTGCGGAAGCTCATCCCGCTTGCGCGGCACCTGGAGGTGTCTGAGGATGCGCTTGCGATCGAGCTCATCGAGAACGTGATGTCTGCGCTGGCGCCGGCGGCGGCGGCGGTGAGCGAGGTCGACGACGAGATTGGCGGCGAGAACGCAGATCCAAACGAGCGTCGGGCCGGAGCTAGTCCGAGCAAGGCGAGCAAGGAGACAGGCAAGCGCAACAGCGGCGATGCAAGGTCAGCAGCAACTGCTTCGTCGGGCGAGTACCATTACTTGGTGCCTGCGGCGCCGGGTACGAGCACGGGCGGCGGGCGCAGCATCCGCAAGACAATGGTGGTGACGTTTGAGGCTCTTCGGGTGTATCTGAACAAGATCTCGGAGACTGCGCGGGCCATCGAGGTGGGCGAGTGGGTGGCGAGTCAATTCCCGCTGGGCAAAGACCGGCTGAAGGCGTACGAGTTCTGCTGCACGCTGGCAGCCAAGTTCCGGCGGGAGACGCGGTCGTCGAGCGAGGCGGTTGCGCTCGTGGAGCGGCTCAAGCGGGCCGAGAAGGAGACGGACGTGGCGCTGCTGCTTGTGGACAACCAGCTGACGGCGTTCCTTGACTACGTGTCGCAGCCTGAAGAGCTTGTGTGCCAGCTGTACTTTCAGCTGGGTGCGGCCGAGTTCCTCCGCGAGTCGCGCGGCCTTTCCAACGCCAACCTGCACTACGTGGCCGACAACATTGCCGGCAAGTTCAAGGGCGAGGTGGACGAGGAGCGGACACGGGAGCAGCTTGTGCAGCTGTGGCTGTCCGAGGACGATCCGTCGACATACGAGCCGCGGGAGGAGCCGCTACCAGCGGCGCTTGTTGCATCGCGGGCGTTCCTGCGAAGCCACGGGTTTGGGCCCGAGTGGGAGGTGCTGATGCGGATTGCTTTCATCCTGCAATACGAGGAGGATGTGGCCAAGAAGCTGGGGTGGCTCCTCAACTACGCGTTCCAAGACAAGTCGCTGAAGATCTCGTCGCTGTCGCGGGCCAAGGCGCTGCAGCTTGTGTTTGCGCTTGCGCCTGCCGAGCTCATCGAGCGTGCGTATCCGGGAAGCAGCAAGGAGCTGGCATCAAAGCTCGAGTCGTTCCTATATCTCTCCGAGTTTGAGCGTGTGCGGTTCCCGTACACGATGGCGGAGCTTTCGACCGAGAACAAGGAGGGACTCGTGCGTGGTCTTTGGCGGTCGCACGCGCCGAGCCGGAGACGCTAGAGCTTGCAGTCAAGCTCGCCATCGACCACGAGGTCGTAGACGGTGGGCTATGGATCCAGTTCCTTGAGCGTGCGCTTGCACGACGGGCGACACCACTGCTGCTGCGGTCGCTGGAGTTTGTGGCTGCACAGCCTGTCCTTGCCTCGCTCCCGATCATGAGCGAGGTGTGGCAGTTCCTTGTCGACGCGGCCGAGGCGGCGGACGAGGCGGTTGCGTCGCCGCGGGAGCTGCTTGCCTGGCTCCGCCGGTGCCCGTTCCTTGTCTCGCTGGACTTGAGCGGGCTGGTGGCGAGCCTTGCAGGACGCGGCGAAGTGGGGCTTGCGCTGGCGGCGGCAAAGCTTGTGCCGTCGCCTGCGGCGCGCGAGGCGCTGATCGCGGCGCAGCTTGCGGGGCAGAGCCACGCTGCACGGCTGGCGCTGCTGAAGAGCGTCGACGACGCGCTTGTTGTGGACGCCGTGGTGACCTCTGTGGTGGCCGAGGCCAACTACACCGGCATCTACGACGAAGGCGTGCCTGCAAGCGCGTTGCAGGCGATCGTGGCCGGAGCAGTGGCGCAGGGCGATGTACTCCCGCTCGTCCGCGCGACACTCGAGGCCAAGCACGCAGTGGAGGCGCGGCAGATTGTGGCGTTCTTTTGCGAGCAGCAGCCCGAAGCGGAGGGCGCCAAGGCTGTGGCGAGCGACGATGGTGACGCGCTGGAGAACTTTCTCATGGCGGTGGGCAACGAGTCCGACTTTGACCTGTTGCTCGCGGTGGGCGAGTAGACCCAAGAGATAAATGAACCATGTAACCTGGATGTTGATGCGGTCCAACAAGGGGTGCCGTTTCATTTTATTCGCCATCCCAAACTCAAACACGGTGGAAGCGGTCGGCCGAGATGGTGACGTTGAAGACCGAGGAGGAGGCGTTGGGTGCGGGCGGCTTGTGCGAGGCCGGATGTGACGGCGGGGCGGAGGAGGCCGCGAGGTGAGGCTTGGTGGGAATGGGGGTGTCGAGGAGGGCGCGGGCGAGGTTGCGCGAGAGGGCGAGCGAGATGAGCTGCGCGTCGACACGGGCGGTGGGCGGGGAGCGGTGGTCGTGGGAGACGTCTGCGAGGACGGCCATGAGAGCGTAGGTTTCCTGGGCGGAGAAGAGGGCGTCCGGCGCTTCTAGGAGCGGGACGGCCTGGCGGAGGAGCGGAAGAACGAGGCGGCGCGGGACGATGTGGGATGCGAGGAGCTTGGCAAGGAGGGTGGCTGCGGTTGCAAGATCGCCGGCGCGGGAGAGGACGTCAAACTCGCGGTACTTTGCGAGAAAGGCGAGGCGCTCCGAGACGACCAAGTCAGGCCCCAGCGCGTCGAGCATGTGCAGATCCGGCAGGGCGTCGGTGGCGATGGCGAGGTCAATGATGCGGTCGGCGACGGCCGAGACAGCAGTGGGCGAGCGTGCGGCGAGGTACCAGCTGAGGGCCGGGACAAGTGCGTTGGCGTCGAGGTAGGCGCGAGCACGGACGGCGCGGATGGAGGTGGCGAGGCGCGGCAGGCCGTGGAACAGCGCGGTGTTGATGAGCTTGCGGGTCTTGGCGGCGGTGGGATGTGGTGTGGTCTCGAGGAGGGCAGCCATGTGGGCAGCGCCGAGGCTCGGAGCATGCGAAAAGTAGGTGGCGGCGAGCTGCCAGTGGTGGCGCGACGACATGAGCTTGAGGCCGTACTCGAGGAGGAAGAACTCGCGGAGCGAGGTGCCAAAGCCGAGGGCAAACGACTCGATGGCGCCGACGTGTGCGAGAAGGTCGGTGAGGTGTGCGACGAACCAGTGCGAGCCAATGAGGGCGACGCAGTAGCGGAGGGTGGTGTGGATGTCGCGGTTCATGACGGCGAGGAGGACGAGGTCAACCGAGCGAAGCGCCGGGTCATCGCCCTCGACGGCAGCAATGGCCGGCGCTGTGTGTGACTTGACGTCGTGGATCTTGACTGCCGGGTCGACGAAGAGCATGCGGGCGACAAGCAGCTCGTACCACGACGTGGCGGCGTTGACGAGGGCGGTCTCTGAGCCGAGGAGGAGGGCAAAGATGTTGCTCAGCTCGGGATGGGATTGCACATCCGGCGATGACGCGACCATGGCCGCCACCGAATCGTGCCAGGCCTTCCACGCCGGAAGGTACTCGGTGAGCGGGGAGGCCGGCGAGGGGAGCGGCATGGAACCGAGTGCCTCGGCGGTGACAGAGAGCAGGTCAAGCTCTGCCATGTCCTGCGAGGTGACCGAGCCGATGAGCTCGCGCGCAGTGTCCATGCGGCCCTGGAGGACTAGGCGCTGGATGACGAACCAAAAGTCTGGATGTGCGAGCGGGGCCGGGGCCGAAGCCACATCAAGCACGCCATCGACAGGAACGTGAAGCTGGAGCCAGTCGAGAAGGAGCGGGGCGATGAGGCCCGACGACGGCGCAGCAATGAAGAATACCTCGACAAGGTGCCAGATGAGCTCGGCCGACTCGTACAGCAGCGACTGGTCGGCAGCGTCTGCCAGCTCCTGCTCGGCGACGGCAGCGGCGGAGGTGTCGCCGTCAGCGTCGGCGACCGCCAACGCCTCGGCAAGGCGGGCCTCGCGGTCTTTGAGCGCCAGGATCTGGGCATGTATGGTGGCCCGATAGTGGCGCGAGGCGTCGACGACACGCGCCCGCGAAAGTGCGCCCACGCCACGGCCGCCCGGTGCTGTCTCACCCAAGGAGGGAGCGACTCCAGCGCCGGTGTCGTCCTCTGCGGCTGCCGCGGCTGCCGCAGCGGCGGCGTGCTGAAGAGCGACAAAGATGCCGTGCGACTCGGCCAGCAGCGGATCGGTCCAAGCGGGGAAGGCATCCCAGGCGTAGAGGGCGAGCGGCGAGGCCGAGGCCGGGTGGTGGGCGGCAGTGGCGGCAGCAGCGCGGAGCGCGGGCGGCGGTGGGCGGGCGTTTCGCGGTGGCGGCAAAGACCGCAAGTTGGTTGCCTGGCCCCTTCAAAGGCCAGTCCGCACGGCTATGTGGGGGGGG